GGGGGAGGGAAATGGGAGGCTGGGAGGAGGCGGAAATTTTTTTTTCAATAAAAAATAAAAAAAAGAATATACTTTCTTCTCGCCACCTCATAGAACCTTCTCAAAAATTGACCACATACTTGGTAACAAAACAAACCTCAATAAATACAAAAAAATTGGAATAATCCAATGTACCTTATCTGATCACCATGGTTTAAAACTGTGGGTTTTCTGGAACACATGGAAATAAAACAATTCTCACCTGCGTCATCAATGGGTCAAGGAAGAAATAAAGGGAGAAATTAAAGACTTCCTACAATTCACTAAATGCCTACATAAAGAAGCTAGAAAGATCCTACACTAGTAAATTAACAGGAACATTTGAAAACTTTAGAACAAAAAGAAGCAAACTCACCTAAAAGAACTAGATGGCAGGAAATAAAGTGAGAACTGAAATCAACAAAATAGAAACAAAGAAAACAATACGAAGAATCAGTGAGACAAAGAGTTGGTTCTTCCAGAAAAATCAACAAAACAGACAAACCTTTATACAAACTAATCAAAAGGCAGAGAAAGAAATTTAACAAAATCAGAAATGAAAAGGAGGACGTAACAGACACGGAGGAAATACAGAGAATCATCAGGTCATATTTCAAAAACCTGTACTCCACAATATTGGAAAACAAAGGAAATGGACAACTTACTGGATAAATATGTTACCAAATTTAAATCAAGACCAGATAAGCAAACAAAACAGACCTATAACTGCTGAAGAAATAGAAACAGTCATCAAAAGTCTCCCAACCAAAAAGAGCCCAGGACCAGATGGTTTCAGCTCAGAATTCTACAAGATTTTCAAAGAACTAATACCAATACTCCTCAAATATTTCTACAATAGAAATAGAAGGAAAATTGCCAAACTCTTGATGAGGATACAATTACCCCGATACCCAAACCACAGAAAGACATTACTAAGAAGAATTAAAAACCAATCTCACTCATGAATATTGATGCAAAAATTCTAAATGAAATACTGACAAATCAAATCCAAGAACACATCAGAACCATTATCCACCATGATCAGGTCAGCTTTGTCCCAGAGATGCAAGGATGGTTCAACACATGAAAATCTGTCTAAGTAATCCACCATATAAACACAGTGAAAAATACAAACAAACCTTATGATTATCTCATTAGTTTGGCTCCCAACTGGTGCTCTGTGGCACCCAGAGTACACGGCCTAAGGGATTCTGACAAGGAGCTGAGGGATGTCTGTCAGTGCATGGCGCATGTCAGGTGACAGCAAGCTTTCAGAGGCCCCGAGCATCCTCCATACTGACCTTCCAAGGAGAAGCAGTTACAATGAGAGGCAAGCCAGTGAGCCTGTTCTTGCTCTCGCTGCCATTGCATTGAGGGAACTTGTCTCCAGCACGCTGACTGAAGCATGAGTAAAGAGCACGGATCCTATTGGGGGGGGGGCGCCCATGTCCCAACATAAACCACTTTTCCTTCTCTGGACCAGCGTGGAGGCGCGGGAATAATTGAGACACAGTTCACACAGCGATATCGGAAGGGAGTCTCAGGCTTCATTCAAATCCTGAAGATCACCCATGTTTATTATCCAAACACCTTTTATCCCCAGGTAAACTGGGGTGGAAGTGCATTAACATTCTGTTTCGGGGTAGCAGGACTACAGGCAGGTCTGCAGCTCAGTCACTAGCATGGAACTCACAACTCTCCTCAGGCGATCTACAAATCTACAGAAGAAAAGGAACGGCACATCCTGAGCTTTTATTAGGGTAGTGACAGCCTGTCTGGCAAGAATACCAACCACCAACATGGCTGTCACACCATGTAGAAATATGGGCCTACAGGATCCCCAGATTTCTCCCATTTAAAAATAACCAGTGATCTGAAAGGACAGGACCTCCGCCCACATGGCCTTTGCCAAGTCCCATCTCCAGAGGAATTCTAGATCTAGACATTGAAAGGAAGGACCTGTGTCACAGAGCACAGTGGCAGAGAGGCCAGCACCCATTTACCTCCAGATTAGAGATGGTGGTGACGAAGCAGATGATGATGTCTGACCTAGCGATGATGGCCTCCTGTCCTGCACACAGAGACCATGGTCTGCCAGGGGTCCACGTGCATCAGGAGGCTGAAGGAGAAGTGAGAGGGTGGAAAACCATGGGATGAGAAGGACGGTGATTCCCAAGAACCCTGAACATAAGCCAGCCCACCACATCTCCCTGAGGCCCTGACAATGAACAGATAGATCCTGAAGGAAGATGAGGACACAGACAAAGGGAAGAATTATCCACACAGTGAGTCACAAGGGACACAGTGCTCAGAGAGGACAGCAGAGACCGCACAGATGGTGCGGGAATATAGGCTGTCCCCGTGTTCCTGGATTAGCAAGGCTTACCCTAGGACCAGGCAGTGGCTGTTCAGAGAAGACGAGGTAACTGAAGATGGAAGCAGAGAACACTGTGTCCTCCAAGCTAAAAGATATTCATGAGGTCTTCGCTGGTGAGAGACACAGCTGATGCAGATCCAGGTGTCCTGTCTGGTGCAGGCTCTTGGCATCAGGGAAGTCTAGCTGATCAATGCTCTGTTTCAGTGGCTGTTTGCCTGCACACATCTATGGAGAAGAGAGCTGGGACCCACAAGTTCAACAGCAGGGATCACTTTACTGAAGAGGAAGGCAGCTCTGAAAACTGAGCATAATGTGGGAATGTTCAGGGGGGAAGAGTTCATAACCCCACACACATACCCCAATGTTCAAAGAATTAAGAGGAACAAACAAGTCCAACCAGAGGGATCTGAAAGGTCCCCATTCAGGGACTCAAAGATCCCTTACTGAGTTTCTCCTCCTGCCTCTCTCAGTGGAGCCACTCTGGTGTTGAACACAGGCTGGGTTTGTGTATTTGGGGACCCAAGGAAGCAACACAGTCTTGACAGGCTAGCCCTGATTGCCCTGCTCAGTCTCCAGCAGCACCCGGTGTTCTGAGTGGAAGATGCTGTCTCCATGTCAGGGTCAGGTCTAGGCAGCAGGGGCATTTCTTCTGTTAACATGCTGTGGCAGACACATGGGGCAGATGCAGCCTTGGTCAGTGGGGCATGGCTCAAAGTGGGGCTCTTCTTCTGTGGACAACATAGAGGCATGGGGGCCCCCTGGTCATCTTCGGCCCTGATAATGTCAGGACATTAGGTATATTCTCTTCTGAAGACTGGGTGTGGAAAAGCCCAGTTGTGGGCGGGCTCACTGGCTCTTCTTCTCAGGTGATGACCAGATGTTAAAGCAGGTAGCAGAGATGGTAGAGGTGCAGCGCCAGGGTTGCCCACCTTGACTGAGGTGGTGGGGTCAAGCTCCTGTTGTTCCTGTTCTAATAGGTATGGCCTCATGATCTCATTATATTCTCTTTTATATAAGGAGTATATGATCTTTTTAGAGCAAATCCATAGGAAAAGAGCTCTTTTACAAATACAGGATCTGGGAAGGGCTCACTAGGGATGTTTCCTTCAGGGTTCTTGACCCATGGATGATGTTGAAGGTCTTCAATGGAGGGCCTCCTCTCTGGGGCAACACTGAGCATTTGAAATAAAGAGATTATCAAGTCTTTTAAATATGTAAGCTGTGATGTTGTAGCGCGCGGTGATGTAGCCGGTGCCATATGTTGCCTCGGCGTGTTTCTCTGCCTTTGGCTTCTGCGCCGATTTTGTGCACGGCAAGCTCGGGACAAAGCAATTATAGTCCAGGCCCTTGCCGCCCTCGAACATGGCATCTCCCCTCAGGTCTGGCTGTCTAGCCTCAAGCATGACCTCTAACTGGATGTGGCCTCTGCACACCAAGTCATTACAGACATTGCACTGGGACAGGCACATCCTATTTTCTCTGTTTTTTAAAACGTGCTGGTAGTCCTTGCACCTCACAGGCCTTGCTGCCATTGCACATGAGAGGATACACAGCATGACGCGCACAGCGCACCCTGACCCTTGATCGTTGGGGACATCATGAGGTCTCTAACTAGATCGGGTTTCTGCTTTAAAATATAAAAGGGGGAGATGTAGCGCGCGGAGATATAGCGCGTGGAGATGTAGCATGCGCCATGGCACTGTCATGTCGTGGGCACGGAGCCTGGGCGCCATTTGCTGTTCCACGTCAAACTTGACAGACAACTTGTGCACGTGCGCGCGAGCTCCCCCCAGCGCGGGGAGTCTTTCGATCTGGCCATCCAATCTGGCCAATCATAATCTGGCACGATCACTCCATTCTGGCCTGAGCCATTGGGTTGATGACACGTCAGGGCTTTGTCTGGCATCGTATATATTCTTCTGCTTCACGGGGACGGGGTCTTTTGCCTCTCTACAACCTCAAGTGTAAGTGCTCCAATAAAGTGTGTTCTGAGAAGAATCCTGTTGCGGTCGTCTCTTCTGCTGGCGGGAGCGGCGTGCTGCATGAAGTAATCCCTTCCTTTGGATATATTCTTCTCAATATCTCTTTCAGGGTGGATATCTCTTTCAGGGTGCTTCCTCAGAAGGGGTGGTGCCCCGTGGTGATAAAACAGCCCACTATACCCAGACTCCAGATATCTGCCTTCCTCCCATCATCCCCTTTCCTCAGAACCAGTTCTGGAGCATTGTAGATCTCAGTCCCACAGCGCCCTTGCTGCACAGTGCCAGCTGCACACCTGGTGGTGAGGCCAGAGTCTCCCAGCTTCACATCGCCCTCTGCATCTAATCGAGCAGCATGTTCTGGGGCTTCCGGTCTCGATGGCAATGCCATGGCCATGGGCGGCACTCTACAGGTGACACTAGCAGTCTGAATATTTTCTGCACCTTTTCCCTCATGCAGCCTGCCCTTCTTCCAGTATTTGCTCCCTCAGATTTCCTCCCGGCGCAAACTCCATCATTATCAAAGTATAATTTTCTGTATTTAAAATCTGGAAGAGGCAAATGAAGTAGGGGTGTTTAATCATTTCTTAGGACTGCCACTTCAGTCATGACTAGAGGAAGGTGTTCGTTTTCATTTCTACCATTTTATTTGCCACCAGCATGCAAACACGGCGAGGGCATGCCAGTGCCACAGTGCCAAGTCCACCCTGGTCGATGGTGTCCAACACATTAAGTTGCCTGTCTAGGCCCTTATTCCGGGGGAAAGCAGGCCTCCTGTCCAGAAACAGTTGTGCCAAAGCCTGAAAAACAATTCGAATGCAGGTATCAATGAAGGAGTCCCACAGGTAACTGAAATTAGCTCCCTGGTCTCTGACTATTTTTGAGGTAAAAGCTTGGAATGTTCCAATCACAGCAGGCTATAGCCTATAGTGAGTGTCTCCATGTTGGGCCACAAGTACCTTTCCCCTTCTTATGAAAATTCAACCAGCATCTCCCAGCTACTACTACTTCAGTGGATCAAAGAGACAAATTTACTGATTTAGAACTTCCAACCAGCACAGTGGCAGTGGCCTTTATAGTTGGGTCTTGAAACCTCTGTCAAGTTGGGAGCATAGGACCTAGCCCCCTGCATCTATCCCAGCACCCAGGCCTGATCTAGACTCCAAAACCCAGCAGGCCAGGTCCTCCCTGGGGATGGGGTCAGGACCACTCTCCAGGGTATTTAAGTGATCTCCCGAATAAGGAACACGTGGTCTCCCTTTCTTCCTCCAGGGGGTCGCATTTCTGTGGCTTCCGATTTCCCCCTCCTCCACCGGAGAGCGTGGAACTTCCATTAAACCTGGATATTTCTTAATTTGGCTTGTTTAGATTTGGCTTGATTGGGAATTTTGCATCGACAGGAAGCTCACGTTAGGAAATATTCCTAACATTTTGGAGGTTCCACCGAGACAGGGCAGGCCCTTTCCATGAGGCAGGCCACATGTTGAAAGGCCCCCAGTCTACAATCTTGATCTCTCTAAGCAACGCTTAAAACCCCACTTCTGGGCTACAGTGGCTGCGTCTTGGTGAGTCCCTTTTCTTATCTATGCTATAAGGTTTTGGGGGACCCATTCGTTTTAAGATTGTCGTTTTAAGATTCCTGTTGAAGTCGTGAACTCACGTCGGGAATTTGAGCCCCAGGTGGCGGTCAATCCCGTGGGATCGGGCTTGGCTGAGGCAGAGATCTGTCTGTCCTGGGACGCTGGGCATTCAATCTCCGTTGCCCCTTTTGGACTTAGAGACATTTTGGCGGACATGCTGAAATGGACTTAGGCCACGTGGTTGGGCATAGACTCTAAAATGGGCGCTTACAGTTCAAAGCCAGGTCCAGGTCCGCTGTTGCTCCTGTAAGCCTCATCCAAAAACATTTTTATATTTTTAAAGATTTATTTATTTATTTTGTATACAACAGTCTGCCTCCATGTATGCCCACACGCCAAAAGAGGGCGCCAGATCTCATTACAGATGGTTGTGAGCCACCATGTGGTTGCTGGGAATTGAACTCACGACCTCTCGGAAGAGCAGCTAGTGTTCTTAACCACTGAGCCATCTCTCCAGCCCACCAAAAACCTTTTTAAATAAGCCTGTCTGATACAAATGAACAGAGCTTACTTATATTCTCTGTGCTCTCGCCTCCCCCCCCTTAGTAGCCTGTGTTTCACAGCACCACACTGCCAGAGGCACTGGCCCCTCCCCCACTCCCTCAAGTCCACACTTCCCAATCCCCTCCCATGGAGCAACATTTGTTCCCCTTTTTCCAATTCAGAGGTTACAGGTGAACTTCCACCGTCCCCCTCCTACCTCACTACTCCTGGACCCCCTGCGCACTGGGCTAGCCCCTCCCATACCCCCTTTTCTCTTCCAAATTTCTCTCAGGTAGAAAAGCGGCTAGGTTCCTTCTGCTTCCTCAGTCAGTACCACATATTAGGAAAGAGTTAAGAAAGGTTGAGGATAGCCCCCAAATTGAGTTGGTAAAAATGGCCTTTCAAGTTTTAATGCCCAAGAAGAATCAGCTGAGTCTTCCTGACAGACAAAGCTACAACAATCTACAGGCACAGGCCTTGGCAGCTGCCCTAAGGTCACAGGAAGGGGGACAAGGGAAGCCAACCACAGGGCTCTATCGAGTGTGGCCTAAATGGGCACATGGCACGATACTGCACTACACCTGCTCCGAGGCTGTGCCCTATCTGCCAACAACCTGGACACTGGAAATCACAGTGCCCCCGTGCAGTCTTGTCCTCAATGCTAAGCCACAGAGGCCCGGCCTCATCACCATCGGCAGGTGAAACTGTGCCAGCCTTGCAGAGGATTGACACTGCCCAGACTTGGTATATCCTGTAACCCTCTCTGAGCCTAGGGTCATGGTACAAGTGGTAGGTAAGTCCATTACTTTTATTCTCACTCGGGCCTTAAGTTTCCCTCACCAATTTCAGCTATGGGGGTAGACGGGACCGGTTCCTCCCCACTTAAAACTTTGCCACTGCCCTACCATCTTGTAGGACATGTTTTTTTCTCATTCTTTCTTAGCGATACCGACTTGCCCAGCACATTTACTGGGTAGAGATATCCTTAGCCATTTCCCCAAAGCTTTGTTCTGCTTCGTGGAGCCCCTTTTAACCCCACCCATCTCCAAGATTCTATTTGACAGGTTCACTCCTCCTGCCAGAAGTGTACCCAGGCCAACCCACAAGGAGCTTTCCACATACACCAGCTTCATGGACACCAACCAGTCAAAAATTCACAGGTTAATTTCACCCATATGCCTACTCATAAAAAACTCTCATCTCTTAACACTTGTGGACACTTTTACAGGATGGATAGACGCATTTCCAGTCTCCAGGGAAACAGAAGGTGTGATGGAGCTCATGTCAGAAGCTCTCACCATCTCATGGGCAATGGGACTCAAACAACAACTAACCAAGCTCTCCATTGAACTCAGGTTATCTTGGCCCTCCCTTCTCCCCATTGCCCTGACTTGTCTCAGGGCCACCCCACATTCCCCTATGGGCCTGAGCCCTTTTGAGTTGCTTTATGGCAGGCCCTTTCTCTTTAACTATCACCTCCCAGTTCAAACTCCTCCACTGGCAGGGTACCTACCCTACCTCTCCCTTTTAAGGTCCCTTCTCCGTTCACACACTGACAGTTGTCTTCCTGCCACAACATCAGTGGACCCTAACACCCCTAAGCCTGCCCCACTCTACCCAGGGGACAGAGTACACCTCAAACAGTTAACTACTAGGTCTTTCAAACCTCGATGGATAGGACTTCACACAGTAATCCTCACCAACCCCTCGGCTGCCAAGCTCTTGGGACACCCATGGTGGTACCATCCATCCAGGCTCAAGTGGGTGCCTACTCAAGATACTTGGTCTGTCCAGCAGACAAGACCTTCTACCCTTTGGTTTTCCAAGATGCCACAATGAAGGGCCTACCTGCTTTTCATTCTGGCACACTCATCTTTAGCAATAACAATTTTTTTTTCCTAGACACCAGCCTTATGACATGGAGCCAGCCCCACTGATCTATGCTACATCTACCTCATGTGTCAGAGTAGCATGTCAGAAGAGGAAATGCGCCTGACATGGAGTCAGCATCTTGATTCCATCCCAGCTTATACCTCTAAGATTATGGGGTAGAACTATTATTAGAACTGCAAAGGCAAGAACAACATTTGGACAGATAGTGCCAGCCTTAAAGTACTGCCATGACCAAAACATCGTCCACCGACACCTAAAATCTGATAAACATTCTTCTACATGTAGAGAACAAAATAAAAGCTTGGGGACTGTGGCCTCGCTACCAGATGTGCAGCTGGCACTGTGCTAAAAGGGCATTTGAAACCAAAATCTGTAATGCCCCAGAACTGGTACTGAGTGAAGAATATGATGGAAAGAAGGCAGACGTGTGGAGCCTTGGAGTGGTTCTGTATCACCCTTTCAGAGGAAGCACCCTGACAGAAGTTGAGGAAAACAATTCTCTTTGGCAACTATGACATCCCAGATGACATGCCTGCCGTTGTAGGAAAACCAATTCATCAAATTCTAACAGTTGCCCCAGAGAGGAGACCCTTCATCGAAGCCATCATCCAAAACCCATGGGTCAGGTGTTCTAAAATAAACATCCAGAGGAAGCCCTACCTAGATCCAAAAATAATAGACAACCTAATTAGTCATGGCTGTCCAAGAAACATCATCTTTGAGTCCCTGAGGAACAGGAAACACAAAAAAATAATGGGGATGTATTTAATATTAAAAGAACTGGCAGACCACACGCTTCACTGCACCACCTCAGCCAAGAGGGCAGATCCTTCCCCTCCACCATTTCTGGTACCTTCTTCAACAATTGGTCGTTACCTGGAAGGAAGCTCAGTGAGCCCATCTTTGACCTATCAGGGCAGATGATGGCCAGAAGGGCCCCCATGCCTCTATGGTGTTCCCAGAAGAAGATCCCCACTTCTGCCCATGCCCCACTGACTAAGGCTGCGTCTGCCCCATGTGTCGGCTGTAGAAACGACATGCCCATGCCACCTGGACCATCGTCGTCTAACAACATCGGGTGTTTCAGGGCACTGATGAGGGCAACCAGGGATTGCCTGTGGAGACTGCTGCTGCGTGAGGGTGCCAAATAGGCAGGCATAGCCTTTGACTAACTACAGAGTGGCCCCACTGGAAGAGGCAGCAGGAGGAGGAGCCCAGTAAGGAATCCCTGAATGGAATTTCACATGCCACTGGTGGGATGTGTTCTTTAAACTTTGAAACATTATTTTCAGCCAAGCTCCCTTCCCCTCCATTAAAAATAAGCAATTCTTTAACTTGTGGGTCCCAGCTCCCTTCTCCATAGAAGATGCTTTGTGCGGGCAAACAACCCAATGAAATACTGCATTGATCAGCTAGAAAAAAATTTTTTTCTAGCCTCCTCCCCGTTTCCCATTTCCCTCCCCCTCCTCGTACACATCGTCCCCTCCCCCCACTCCCCTACCCCTCTCCCCCTCTCCCCACTGCCCTCCCCCTCTCCCCCTCCCCCCCACTACATTCCCCCTCCCTCTCGAGAATGAAGAGCAGTCCAGATTCCCTGTCCAGCGGGAAGTCCAAGGTCCTCCCACTTCTATCCATTACCAGGAAGGTGAGCATCCAAACAGTCTGGGCTCCCTCAAAGCCAGTTCATGTATTAGGATCGAAACCTAGTGCCATGTCCTTGGCTTCTCATCAGCCTTAATTGTCTACCACGTTCAGAAAGTCCGGTTTCATCCCATGCTTATTCAGTCCCAGTCCCGCTGGCCTTGGTGAGCTCCCAATAGATCAGTTCCACTGTCACAGTGGGTGGGTGCACCCCTCGTGTTCCTGACTTCCTTGCTCATGTTCTCCCTCCTTCTGCTCCTCATTTGGATCTTAAGAGCTCAGTCCGGTGCTCCAATTTGGGTCTCTGTCACTATCTCGATCCATAGCCAGATGAAGGTTCCGTCCAGATGGAGCTCCTCAGCACCTCTCTTCCAGATTTTAAATACAGAAAATTATACTTTCACAGTGATGGAGTATGCGCTGGGAGGGAATCTGAGGAAGCAAATACTGGAAGTGGGCAGGCTGCGTGAGGAAAAGGCACAGGAAATGTTCGGGCAGCTAGTGTCATCAGCCGTAACGTGCTGCACATGGCCATGGTACTGTCCATCGAGACCTGAAGCCAGACAGCATCCTGCTCGATGCAGAGGGCAACGTAAAGCTGGGAGACTCTGGCCTCGCCACCAGGTGTGGAGCTGGCACTGTGCTGCAAGGGCGCTGTGAGACTGAGATCTACAGTGCTCCAGAACTGGTTCTGAGGAAAGGGGACGATGGGAGGAAGGCAGATATCTGGAGTCTGGGTATAGTGCTGTTTTATCACCATGGGGCACCACCCCTTCAGAGGAAGGACCCTGAAAGAGACTGAAAAGAACACAAAAATGGCACATGTAACATCCCAGTTCACATCTCTGGGCAACCTATTTTCTCATTAACCAAATTTTAACAGTTGCCCTAAATAGGAGACCCTCCATTAGAGATATTCATCCATGGGTCAAGAATCCTGAAGGAAACATCCCTAGTGAGCCCAAACCCCCAGATCCTATAATTGTAGACATGCTCCTTTCCCACGGATCTTGTCAACAAGATTTTAGACTCCTTGCCGAACTGCAAATATGACAAGATTATGGGGGCAGAACTAACACTCAAAAAATTGGTACATGGGACAATGAGGACTACTGAGACCTCAAGAACAATGGCAATGGGTTTTTGATCCTACTGCACGTATTGGCTTTGTGGGAGCCTAGGCAGTTTGGATGCTCACCTTACTAGACCTGGATGGAGGTGGGTGGTCCTTGGACTTCCCACAGGGCAGAGAACCCTGATTGCTCTTTGGGCTGACGAGGGAGGGGGACTTGACTGGGGGAGGGGGAGGGAAATGGGAGGCAGCGGTGGGGAAGAGACAGAAATCTTTAATAAAAAAAAATTAACACCTTTCTCCCTTAAAAAAAAATTGGTACATGAGGAGCTGGGAGGTTGACCCCACCCCACTTCAGTCGAGCCGGCAGACCCTGGCCCTGCACATCCACTATCTCCGGTACCTCCTTTCTATATCAGGCTGTCCTACCTCTGGCCTTTTCCACACCCAGCCTTCACAACAGCACACGCCTGATGTCCCCCCCCCCCACGGCAGATGACCACAAGTGCCTCCATGCTTCTCTGCGGGCTCCAGAAGAAGAGCCCCACTTACAGCTATGCCCCCGTGAGTAAGGCTCAGCTTTGGTGAGTCAAGAGCAGCTGCAACCCACGATGCCAGTTCCAGCCCTAGTTTCAGCTTAGAAAAGCTCATTTCAGGAAGTTCCCGAGGAGCTAGATATCGTCCCGTGCTGGTCATTGCTGTGGTTCATAGGCATCCAAGCTCGGTACGTCTATTATTGCACCTCCCCTCACAAACGTCCTTCCTAAAACAGAAATGACATGAGATTCTCACTGAAAAGGTCACTGAAGCGTCATACTTGCTTAGAGTGCCCGAGGAAATGTCACAGGGGCGGGAAGTGTCTCCTTAAGTTTCCTTCTCTTTTGTTGTCCAAAGAAGGAGACTCATCAGGTTGACCCCAGCTCCCCTAAGTTTCCTTCTCTTTTGTTGTCCAAAGAAGGAGACTCATCAGGTTGACCCCAGCTCCCCCATGATATCAGGGTGAGACTTTCACCAGGACCTGTCTGCACAGGAGCATATTGACCATCTAGCTTTATGGCCTGCATCCCCTGAATGAACATTGAAAAATCAATTTAAAGTACTATGCATGACTGGCCAAATTGCATTTGGCCTTTTCAGTCTGCGTTATCATCACCTAAGAGGCAACCTGGTGGCCAGAAAAGTTGTCCAACACATAAATAGAAAGCACGGAGAAGGATCTGTGCTACATCTTCATCAGAAACACCCATTCTCCAAAGCTCACAGCATCTGAACCAAACCTGCCTTCTCCACATTACGGTGGCATCGATTTTCACTTAGTAACTGAACGTGGTAGAGAGGATCCTGGCGGTTGCAGGAAGAAGAGGCGCGAACCAATCTGAACAGATCATAACAGTGATCAGATACTGCCTCAGATCAAAGCTGAAACCCCTCGCTTGGATACAGACTACAATTTCAAGGCCATTGACATTGGTCTCAATTCTAAGGATAGATATGGATGCTAGAACTGACTCTTCCCTGCTCCCATATTCTAAGAAGAGGATGTAATAAGAATGACGGGTGGAGTTTTGGCAGGATCCTCCCTGAGTTTTGAGCAATGGGTACCTCTACTGCATAAAAGTGTCTCTTTGTTTTCATTTACTTCTGTTTTCCCAAGAAGGAATTCCTCCCCGCTCCCCCGTGTTCAGCTGTGCCTGCCCTTTGCATGAGATGTAGCAACTCTCAGAAGCAATGCCCTTGTCACCTGGGCAGCACCTTGATTTAATATGCTTCCACCTTTGAAGGCGCCCCAGAAGGAGGGCTGCAGAATGAAGGCATGCCTTTCACAGCTCTGTTGCTGCACCTCAAAAGAGATGTGTACTGGTATCTTCCCGGATTAAATGGCCAGGCCCTCAACCTGTGTAATAGAGTTTCCAGACAGGCCTTCAAGAGGGAGGCAGAGACAGATTTTGCGATGAGGACAAGGTTGTTGTTGTTGTTTTTTTGGTTTTTTGTTTTGTTTTGTTTTTTTATTATGTACAGTGTTCTGCCTGCATGTCTACCTGCATGCCTTAAGAGGGCACTGGATCTCATTACAGATGGTTGTGAGCCACCATGTGGTTGCTAGGAAATGAACTCAGGCCCTCTGGAAGAGCAGCCAGTGCTCTTAAGCTCTGAGCCATCTCTCCAGCCCAAGGGCAAGTTGTTTAGCAGGCACTTAAGTGCAGCTAGAAAGAAGTCCCTGTCCTAAAAGGACCAAGAGAGAAACAGCCTCTGAGAGCAGGAAGGGTCCTCACCAGGAGCCCACTCTCTGTTACCTGATGCCTTCTAGCTTCAAGGCATTTTCCTCTAGTCCCTGAGCAATCACGAAGAAGATGAAGACCAGGACACATCAGGGAAAGGAAAGTGCTTTCAAGACTCTTGATAATTTTCTAGCTTTATGGAGTCTTTCTGGATGGTTTTTAGCCAGTGGATTCCCCATGGAGAGAACGGCCAAGCTAGTTCTGAAGAGTCAGACAATGTATTTTTTCCCTCTGGCAGGCTTCTTCTGAGTGTGGACAGGCTTTGTGCCCATCCCACTTGTCCCCCCAGTTCTGACAGAGCATTTCAGTGCCCGGGTCCCTGTCCTTCTCTTCAGACTGTGTCCCCAGCTTCCTGAAATTTCTGTCCCTTCTACTACTGGGAGCTCAGCCTGAACCCAGTCTTAAAGAATCTCCAGGAAAGCATCTGACTACTACTGTGCTCATGTCCTCAACTACAGTGGAATCCTAGACCTGGGGATCATCCCTGTGGATGCTTACGGAGGCCCTACCAGCATACTCATGCTGGACAGCAGGACACTCACAAGTTCCTTCTATAATGCCAGTAAAAGTCCCCTACCCTCGCAAGGCAAAAAGTACAAGAAAAACAGAAAATATAAGCCAATATCCTTAAAGACATAAAACCACAGGTGCAAAAATTTTCAGCAAAACGCTTACAAATTGAAGGACAGCATACATCAAAATGATTATCTACCACAAATACTTTGGTTTATCCCAGGAAATGTAAGTTCACATACTTATATTTATACATTTAAAAATTATAGAAATTAATTTAAAGGTGAATATTACAAAATACTTTCTATTGGTAAAGAAAAGCCCTTTGACAAATCTGATGATTCATGATAGTATTCCAAAACACCAGTATTATAGGGGTCATACTTTAACATAATAAAGGTTTTTAGATGACAAAACTCACAATGTCATTCTAAATGGAGCGAAACTCAAAGCAATTACTACATTACAATCTGTAAAGAGACAGGGCTGTCCACCATTACCATTCATTTTCAGCATATGGCTTGGAGCCTGAGATAGATCAGTCATGGAAGATAAAGAAATTAAAGGCATCCAAGCAGCAAAAGAAGAATTTTGTATCATCCATGTTTGTAGATGACATCAAATCATACATAAATCAAAAACTAAAACCTCTAGAAATTACTAATGCATCCAGAAGAGTATCAAGGGAATGAAATCAACTAACAAAAATCATTGGTACTTTCACAGCTATAATAACAAGCATGCAGAGAAAGTGATCATTTCAGCATCCCGTGCACAACAGCTTTAGTACAGCTTATGACATAGAAATATAACTAATAAGGGAGGCAAAGATCCTCTACAAAAACAACTTTGAACTTCTTTTTTTATTGAGCTCTACATTTTTCTCTGCTCCCCTCCCTGCCTCTCCCCAAATGCATTCAGTGTGCTACACTGGCAAATTCTTCAAGAAACCCCTAGACCAACAAAGGAAATAATCTTCATGCTTTTGAGATGTGTGTAGAAACTAAAATGCCATGAGGAGATAGAGCCTCCTATATGAGGGCCACCTCTGCAGAAGTGGTCACATAAAGTAAGGTGAACCAACCCCAGCTTGTGGCAGTTGGGAGTTGCCCATCCCCCACAGTTGTGCCCACCAACTGCCATTCTCAAAAGGGGCCTGTCTCCCAGCCTCCCTTTCTCCTTCATTCTCTGCCACCAAAGTATCCCCTACCTCTGAGAAGGACCAATGGTCAAATCATGTCTGTCCTAGGTTACTTTGCATTAATGTCACAAACATCACCAAGGAAAGTAACTTGGGGCGGAGAAGGCTGACTTGACTCACATGTCCTTTACCATTTACTCTAACACGAATTCTAGTTGCTCTGAATAATAAAAATCCAGAGTCAGATATAGGGGTTAATGCTGAGGATCAGGGAAGTAAGGGGCCAAGCCCTAGAGTTCTTATGCTCAGAAAGGAAGGGGGATCCTGTCCTGCATTACAGAATGCATCTGTCTCCACCAAGCCTCAGACTGCAGTGAGCTCTTGTCTCCTCCCTCCTTATATGTCTCTCTCTGCCCAGCCACATCCCTTCCCATCTCCACCTCCCTAGTGCTGGATTTAGAGGCATGAGACACCCAAGTAATGGATTTAAGGGCATGAGACTCCCAAGTAATGAGATTAAAGGTGTGAGCCATCACTGTCTGACTTCTGGTGGCTATGAGCTCTGATCTCCAGGCAAGCTTTATTTTTTTAAAACACAAAACACTCAATATAACTGACCATCAGTGAAGGGAAGTCAAGGGAGGAACACAACCAGGGCAGGGACCCTGAGGTAGGAAATGGAATGGAGACCTCAGAGAAGTGAGTGCTGCGGACAGTCTTGTTTTCACTGCCTGAACAGGCCAGCCTCCTCTACCTCCCAGGGCATCCTGCCCAGTGTTATCACAACCCCCAGTGGGCTAAGTCTAACGGTTATAGCTCAGATGGAAAGGAATCCTGGCAGTCAGGACCCCAGCACAACCCAGATGCCACTGGGACTCCTAGGCCTCTGCCTGCCCTCCTTCTTTCCCTCCCTCCAGGACCTGCCCTGTGCCCTCTCAGCTGGTCCTGCTCTGGCCCCTTGCAGCCTCCCTCATCCTCTGGACTCCACTGCCTCACTCCACCACTCAGGCTCTTGGAGGGAGGACCAGACTTGCTGGGTGCCATGCAGACCCTTGTAAGTGCTTACATTAGGGCTGGAGAGATGGCTCAGTAGTTAAGAGCATTGCCTGCTCTTCCAAAGGTCCTGAGTTCAATTCCCAACAACCACATTGTGGCTCACAACCATCTGTAATGAGGTTTGGTGCCCTCTTCTGGCCTGCAGACATACACACAGAATATTGTATACATAATAAATAAATAAATAAATATTTTAAAAAAAGAAAAAAAAAGTGCTTCCATTAAAAAAAATAGTCTGGTGGTGATGGAGCAGGCCTTTAATCCCAACCTCCAGAGGCAACTGCAGGTGGATATCTGGGAGTTTGAGGCCAGCCTGGTTACAAGGGCTAGTTCCAAGACAGGCTCCAAAGCTACAGAAACCCTGTCTCGAAAAAGAAAAAGAACCAGGGGAAAGAAAGGCTGTAGCTGAGTTCAGCTGTCTAACATTGAAGCTACTGTTTGTTCAGCTAGCCTAAAAGTCCTAAGTGGGAAATGGGAGGGAATCAGGTATAAGACAAGAATAGCGATTTCTAAATGGTGACCAGACCGAGGTCACTGAGCAGGAAGCTGTGAATACTCACTGTGAAATGGACAGTTGACCGTAGAATTCAATTACGCTGGTATTATTTGGGAACTCCAGCTACACTGGAGTCATTGCCTAGCAGATGGCATACTTAGAGCCCTGTGGCCTGAAACCCAATGTGTTTGATCTGATCTTTTATAATATAGTAATCTCAGATCAGTTATCTTTGGGGAAGATGGTAACCAAGTTAGAATCATCTATGATGTGTGTCAAATTAAGCATTATTAGTTTTTGTATTTGAAACTACTGTTAAGAAAAACCATTCACTGCATACATATGCATTGTGAACTGTCATAATTTTCTAGGTAAATGATTATTGATTTTTTAATGACTGAACAGTGATAATGGACATTTCCCCATATACGAAAGCTACACCTGATCTGAATTGTGCTAAGAAAAGGAAATAAAGTCAGTATGTATAGGTAAGAGGCTCTCTCGGAACATGCCAATGAAAGAGAACGCATGGTACTGCTGGGCTGTCCAACGGGAATAAACCTTCTTCTACCTCTCCTTGGGGGGGGGGGGGAACAGCGGACTGGAAGGGACAAAGAGAAATCAGAAGAACTATCCAGAGCTTCCAGTGCCGATGTCCACCATGCAGCAGATGTATCAGATCACGTTTTTCTGTCTTACTCAATCTCCACAAGCACACAAATGCGTGGAGGGGAGAATGCAGGCCTTTAAGTGGATTACTGGTTGCCCAAGTCAAGTGGGACAAGAGATGGCCAGGCCCAGCTCGGTCCAATTCCAAAACCTACCCTGATTTCTGGCTGCTATAGTACAAATCTGTCAGTGTTTCTCTTTTCCTTGCTTTCTATAGAGTCGCGCCAGTATGGTCTGGTGCCTGACGATGACAACACGGCGCATTTATTGAGTCCACACTGCATGTCACACAGATATGGAATCGTTATTTCACTAAATGCCAACAAACAAATTGAAAACTGAGACTTATAAAAGTTAAGGGACCTATCCAAGGTCAGAGCTTGGACTGGCAATACCAGGAAGCCCATCTGATACACAGACCACATTCCCTGAAAAAAACTCTCAATCCATTGCCTTTACCTTTTCAAAAACTCCTTCAGTCATCAGGAGGAGTTCACTGCCTCTGAGTGTGAAAAAAAGCAGAGGAGAACGATTCGTGTTCGGCAGTGCTGTTTCTAATAAACACTCTGGCTTTGGTACACAACCAACATTAAAATCACTTAAAAATGCCAATAATTTCTTCCACAATATACCACAGTATGATCTCTCTTCTGAGTCACATGACATGACATGTTTCCTTTCCTGAGCTGTTATTACCTGAAGCCTGCATGTAATCGCCACATAATCATAGAAGGCATTTTTGAGAAGGGTTCAAGTCAAAAGGAGCTTTCCCATCACTAAATCTCAATAATCTAGGAAGCCCAATTAACTATAATGCCCACTTGCCAATATTGCAGTTACCCCAAATTTTAATGATTGGCCATCAAACCCTACAATTATTTCGACATACAGAATTTTTCTACTAATGCCCTTGGCTTCTTACTGAGACTCAACTGCAATGGATTTTTTAACACAAAACTGGAGGGACTCCAACGGAATCATCAGCATTAGTAGATATCTAGTTAAGCGCTTTAGAATAGGCCCTAAAGGACTCCAGAACCCGCATGGGCGGTGATTTGGGCCCAGCACAGAAACATCCTTGTGAATAACGCACAGGACTCCACACGTCACTCTCCACTCCTCTGGGCTTCGAACTTCATTTCAGTGGAAGACTCCACATTGGAATGCCTAATCCAGAAGAGTGAGTTTGTGTGCATTCAAACACAATATGGAAAGGCTGGATTAATCTGGCTTCTGCACATAACTTTGAGTGTTCTCAGAAATAATATTAACAAATTGGACTGAAATAATGGTGATGATAATAATAATTATTAACAATAAAAGCTTGACTAAATGTTTGCTTTCACTTGAAGACAGTTTGCATGCGTGGACAGACAGCTGACATTCACTGGCACCTCGGGGTTTTAAGGAATTAGCTTGTTTATGATTAATTAATTAACACTTTCATAAACATGATCACAGCGAACCAAGGGCCAGAAGGTACGCTTGGACACTCTGATAGGTTTGTCTGAGGCTCTGTGGGAATCCCTTGCTCGGCACAGTTACCTGTGTCAAGGGAAGTTGTGACAGTTTGGGAGGCAGCTACACCTCCAGGTTAAGAGGCACACTTCCTGCCAGTAAACCTCAAGATTTAACAAAGCCATTCCACATGACACTGTTGTCATCTTGCTAGAGAGAGATTCCCTAGAACACGGATCTATCTTTTCAAGTATCCTAAACATTCCCTGAACTTGTTGTTTGTCTGTTCTTTGTTAAGTCGGTTGCTCTTTCTCAAAGACAATACTCTGAACTGTCCTACTGCAGCAGTTCCGGAGACTGATCCATAGAGTCCCCACAGCTTCATAACTCACATTTCTCTCCAGCAGCTGGAAGGCTCAGCGTCCTAAGAACTGGACACCCAAACCTCCATTTATAGGACCCGAAGTACTCAAGGTATTGAACAAAAGGTCTCAAGGTATCTGTCCCACTTCCTTTAGGTTGCCTACGTTAACATCAGGCACACATCAAGGTTTCGGCGATTCTCAAAGCTAAATTACTAGTTAAACACCTAATACCGAAGCGCTTTAAAAATAACAAGTAACGTGGTGGCCACAGGACGCCCGATGGTGTTGAGGGCTGGGTGTCCCCTCGCGGTCCACTGCGGGTGCAAAAGATACTAGTGGCTGAGAGGAGGAACCCAAATTAAAGGCTTGGGACAGTCCACAAATGAAGCCCAGATCCTGGGGAAGAGGGGCGACTCTCCGAGAGATCTCCCCCTCCATCCCGGGTCCACAGCTCGCCCAAGGTGGCAGCTGCCTGGCAGGTGTTGGGAGCAAGGAGCACGGGTGGCGGCACGGAGCATGGAGCGAGCCCGGGGACAGCCGGCAGCGCACTGGGCCGGGGTGGGGGGGACAGAGGAGCACACTCACCGATGCTGCTGAAACTCTCTGACAAAGTTCTTCATCCTGCAGATCTTCTTGCTTGGCTGTGGCTCCATGAGGTCCCACATCTGGGGTGTGCGGGGCCCAGGCAATTTCGCGAAACTGGTCCAGCACGCAGCGCAGACAAGGCGAGGGCCATAGGCCTGGGTGGAGGCCGGGAGCAGGGAGGCCTCTGCCGCCTCCGCCTCATTTGCTCTCCTTTGTAACAGAGGTGGCGCCCGACGGAGGAGGCACGGGAGACCAGCGCACAAGTTCCCAGCCCGAGGCGAGGCGCGGTGCAGAGCCGCAACTCCTCTGGCCCAAGGCCTGGCGCGCGTGGGAGCCAGGCGCGACCCCTGCTGCCATTCCAACTCCTAGGCCTCAGCTGCCCTCTCTCTCTCCCTTGACTTGTTCTTTAAAATATTTAACTTACTCGCTTTTCCCTTTGTAGACTGCTGCATAAGGTCCTTCTCCTAGTTTCTCCAGTTTTTCATAGGAATCAGCTTTTCCAAACTTGGGTTGTTGGCTAAACACAAAAGAGCAGGAAACAAAACAGATTGTTTCAGTACCAATTTGCTGACAATGAGTAAGTAACATTTTCTGATATCAGAATATTTTTAGAACAAGGCAATAAACAATCATTGTACGAATTCAGAATATACAAACACACAGAGAATTCTATTTGCCCATAATCTAACCAGGGTAGACCTGTAAATATTCTGATATAGCATCCATCACCCAAGGCTATCTTGCTGGAAATCGTTTGTTTATAGAGATGTCGTGACATTCAATGTACATGCTTCATGACCTGTGTTCTCACGTTCAATGTGTGATGAACATTTTCCACATTGGGCATAATATTCTAAATTATAGATTAATAAACTAGTCTATGCAGATCAAACATACTCTATCCCATATTTTATACATCCCATTGATGTACAATAATTATTACTTTGTTTCAGCAGTAGGGGAGGGACCAAAAAGAATTTTGTGATACATGAAAGTTGTACAAAAATTACAAAGTTTTATTAGAATGGTCATCTTATCTATGACTTTCTAGTTATAACAAAACTGTAGTTACCACATGTATTATACAGCTGCTGATGCTGGGAATACTGTGTTACTCTACAGCAAATCATGACTGTATAACAGTCAGAAAGTACTCCTCCAATGTATTTCATCAGTAAATCACATAGATAACATATACTATCTAGAGATAACTGATCATCCTAACCTCTCATTCTCACAGGTGATAAAATTGTTAAGGACTGACCAATGAAATCGAGGGCTGTCTGCACCGCAAAGGGGACGAGCATCAGAGTGGCGAGATGGCCGACAGGATGGGAGAAAATCTTTGCAACTGGGTATGTGGTAGAGGATTAACATAGGCAATAAAAGAAGGTCCCAAAGAATTAAACATGAAAACCCATCTAATCAAAAAATAGGTGAATCAATAGAACTGTTCTCAAAGGTAGAACTTCAGACAGCCAATAGGTGGAATCTGTTCAACATCCTTAGCCGTCAAGAAAATGAAAATCAAACAACACTGTGATGCCATCTCACCCATAAGACCGGCTGTCACCAGGAAAACAACATGGCAAAAATGCTAGAGAAGTTTCCTGCACTTTTACGCTGGTGAGAGTGTAACCTGGAGGTTTTGCTACGGAAGGGAGGCACTCACAATCCACAAAATGAGCAGCAGATTAATTTGATGAGAATATGGTTCATACACACAGTGGAGTTTTATTCAGCCATAAAGAAGGTGAAATATAGCACCTTCAGGAAAACTAATAGAGATTATCATTAACATGATAAATCTGATGTAAAAATAAAAATGATAACATAAGCAACACAAGTCAGACTCAGAAATACATGAACCATATTTTCTGTCATATATGGACACATATTTATGTGTGTGTGAGCCCATATGGAGGACATATACAGATATGAAATCAGAGAGACTATGATGAGGAAGGAAAGGGAATAAATGGGGGAGGGCAAAGAGAGAAAGAAGAAAACAATGCCCCATATTTCCCCTCATATGCACACACACGTGAAAGCAGAGGAGAGACTACTTACAGGGAGGAAGTTGTACACTGAGGTTTTGCAGGGGAGAAGATCAGAAAGGTCAAATACAGGAAGTACAATGATACACAAGAATGACAGGTCATAAAGGAGCCCATGACTTGCATTCCAACTGTAGCAATTAATTAAAAATGAAAATACTAAATGTGTTCTCTTGTCCCCAGCCCACACCGAACACAACACAGTGACTAACGATACATTCTTCAAAACTAACAGTTCATGATCTTGGAAAAAGAATTATCTAACCAGACATTTTGAGGAATCTTGAATGGTATATGCAATTGGGAGTAAAATTTCAGAGAAATGACCCTAAACCCATGAGAAAACTATTAGATTAAAATAGCAGAAACCTTTAAGTATACATGAGAAAAAATAAGGGGAGACTTAATTTTATAAAAACAGAAAGGACAGATAAGAATGAGGTCACTGAGTTAGAAGGGCAAAGCAAAGACTTGGCCAACATCCTCAGAAATGACAATGTACAATTACAAACGGCCAACAAATATTTAAAACTGCATTCAGCATCCCTAGTCATCAGAAAAATGCAATTAAACCTAAGGGTATAACCATGACTTTTTTTTCTTAACAGTTTTATTTTAATGAAAATATAATTACATCATGGCTTTTTGATGCAATCAACAGAAGCAAGTGAACGAAATAGAATAAGCTGGCAGGTTTCTCAAATAAAAACATGAGTACAAATCCTAAAGTCACAATTCATGAAAAGATAAAACCATGAAAGAGAAGCATGGAGTTTAATGGGGAGAGGAACTAAAACTCTTGGAACAGCGGTACCAGTGAAAAGCTAAGGATGACTTTGAAGTTACTGTATGATCAATATTTAACCAGCATAAAAAAATTTAATAAGTATTGAATGAGAAAAAAGATATAGTTGAAACAGCAATAAACTCGGGTTTAAACAAAATTCTCACCAGACACTTCAAGGAGCGACTGCATCCACATAGAAAAGTTAATCAGAGATAACAATGGCTGCAAAATGGACAGGAATGTTTTATAAAGTTAATAAAGTGATTTGACTGGATGTGGTTAGCCCCCAGAGACAGACATGGGGGGATCTCTGTAAGTTTGAGGCCAGCCTAGTCTACATTGTAAATTCCAGGTCAGAGTTATATAGAGAATCTGCTTTAAAATAAAAACAGAGGCAACGATTTGTATCCCCAGTACTGCAGTAGTTAGTGTGTCCAATGAGAGATATGCAGACATTGCAAATTTTATCACCTGAAGCAAAAAAATCAAGACATTAACTTCCACGGTACTTCAACATAAGGCTTGGCTGGACCAGTGCAAAGTAGTACAAGAAGGTAAAAGAGAGAGAAAATCATGTTGAGAATTCTTGAATCAATTAGAAACAGAGAGTAGACACTAAATACCTCCAAAGTCACAAATTTTAGTATTTTCCTTACATTTTAAAAAGTATTTGCTATATCTACACAAGTAAGATGTATACATCTTAAATAAATTAGGAATGAAGGAAATACAAGAAAGGAAGAGGTAAGGAGAGGGGAATTAGACGAGGGATTCTCAAAAAAATACACGATAATAAGGATAAATTTAAGCCCAACTATATTAAAGAGTACAATAAACATAAGTGAAACCACCTTTGGCAAATAAAAGTTCAGATTTGTGATGTGGGGGATCAACAATGTGCTACTGAGAAGATTCAAAAGCAGAATAAAGAGTATATCTGAACATAAAGAAGGAGGAAACCCTACCATTTGGAACTGAGTTTTGTACAGCGTAAGGTGTAGGGACTGAGTTTCATTCTTTCCACGTTAACACCCCGGGTTCTCAGTCCCATTTGGTAATGTTGCTCATCAACAGATGGACAGGTAAAGAAAATAGAGCATACACACCAAATGGAATTCTATTCAGCTAGACTCAAAACTGACATCATGAGATTGGTATGAAAGCCAATGAAACCTGAAATTTTGTACTGAGGTAATAACCAAGGGACAAAAAGACAAACGCTGCATATTCTCTCCCGTGTGTGTCCTAGCTTCCCTCCACTCCTCAGCTCCATGTGTTTAACGTGGAGAACCTCTAGAAAGCAGAAAACTAGAGAGGAGACATTGCACAGGGCAGGGCACCTTAAGGAAGAAGGCAGAAGGGACATAGATGAGCATGGAAAGGGTGGAAAACTTGGGGCACACAGGTTCAAACAGAAGGTGGGAGAGACAAGATGGTGGGGGAAGAGATAGTCAAAACAAGGGACGCATGACTCACGCCGAACTCTCTTAGGCTGGCCTTGATGAGGAGCAGCAGGCCATTGCTCTCCTGGGTCTTGGTCTGAGTTTCCGTCAGGAGCTCCTCTGCCGCCTGCAGTTCTTCGCTGTGGTTTGAAAGGAGGCCACTGGCTGCCTCCTTCAATGCCTTCAGCTTTTCCTGGGGCTTCTGGAACCTCTTCTGAATTCGTGACAGTAACTCTTTAGCAGCCCTGATAAACAGAAATGGTCCACTTAGGAAGTAAAACTTGGGTCTTAAAACCCTAATAGGAGACTTTCAAATGATCATAGTTCCTTCTAGGAATATAGAGTGACTTCTTGTTTCGTATTTATTTATTTATTTATTTATTTATTTATTTATTATTTAGACAAGTCTTGGCTATACNCTGAATGAATAACCATCTATTTCTCAATTCTGAGCTAGTGTGGGATTTCTTTTAAGCATCCTTCTTCAACTTTTATTTATTTCTATTGATTTTTCGAGACAGGGTTTCTCTGTGGTTTTGGAGCCTGTCCTGGAACTAGCTCTTGTAGACCAGGCTGGTCTCGAACTCACAGAGATCCGCCTGCCTCTGCCTCCCGAGTGCTGGGATTAAAGGCGTGCGCCACCACCGCCCAGCCAAATACTTAGGCTGGTCTTTAACTCAAAAAAATTCTCCTGCCTCAGCCTTCCTCATTATTATGATTAAAAGTCTAAATGACCAAGCTTAGAATGGATCCTGATTGCTGAAGACCAGAAGTAATTTTTTTCTTTCTTTATATGTTTTGTGTGTGATGAGGGAAGGGACGTCTAAGTGCCATGTCAAATATGCAGAGTTCAGAGGACATTAAGGTCTGGCTCTTACTATACTTGCATGGATGCCTACATGCCAGAAGAGGGCATCAGATCCCACTATAGATGCTTATGAGCCACCATGTGGAAGCTGGAAATCGAACTCAGGACCTCTGGAAGAGCAGACAGTTCTCTTAACTGCTAAGCCATCTGAGCCACCATCCAAAGGTCCTGAGTTCAATTCCCATCAACCATATGGTGGCTCACAACCATCTGTAATGAGATCTGGTGCCCTCTTGAGGAAGAGACCTGGTCAGTCATCCTCATCAACTTAGACCATGAAACCCAACATGGACAAGTTCAACAGAACCGCCATATACGGGCTGCCAATGCATACCTCAGCATCGACAGGGCTAGATGACCTCTCACGCACTCCTTCCCACCCTTCCCTGCAGGCTTCCTTTTCCTCGTCTGAACGCACAGCCTTAAAGACTCTCAGCCATAAATGCTGAGAATCCTGGGAACTGCAGTAACATGGAATCCTGAGAGCTGCAGTCGGTGCCTGAAGATGGCAGTGGTCTGGCACTGAGTGAATGACTGGCATGTGTACCAAAGCTGATTACCCAGACTGCAGCACGGAGCATGAATTTTATAATAACTATAATTAGTAATATGATGACAAGTCATTCCTGCAACAACCCGTGACATTGTAGGAGGGATTATCTCGGAAACTAGAGAACACACAGTGGGGCTCCATGAACCACACACCTCATTCTCACTCCAGGCACAGGAGTAACGGAAACTCAGCAAAAGTCACAGGGAAAGGAGGAGCCGAGCCTCAGAGTGGCCGAGGCATCATGCCTTCCCACCACTTGAACCTTTACAGTGCCACGGCTCATCTAGAATTGGACCTGGCTACAAGCTGTCTCAGTACCCCCTCTAAAGTCCACCCCCAGCGTCTCAGTGTGTGCCACTCCTCAGAGAGCAGCGGAGAACACACCCCAGGAGATTGCTTATAACACTCACAGAATGAAAGGAAAAACCTTTCCCAATTCCCTGATACTCATCCCCTCTAGCCCTCTCCCATCACCCACAAAGAAGACACTCAAATGACTTTCCCCTGCACTCGACAGACATCCGTTAGAACTGGAGAAAACCAGAGACCAGAAATTTGGGCAATATAGACAACAACACCTCTTCCACACTGATCTGTGGTTTCAGTAAAAGGAAGTATTGATACAGCTAAATTATGAAATAAAAATTATTAGCTGGGTGTACTACGTGTTTCTGTAATCCAGTCAATAAACAGGAAAGTGAAGCAGAACTGTGATGTTTGGAGTCAGCCTGGACCATCGCACAAGACCCTACACAATCCAAGTTGTGTTGTCTTATCTGTACACAATTAAAGGTTTAATTAAGTAGATTCAACAGCAATGTACATCAAGGAGTTGCAATAAAGTGTAAAGTACAGTGAAATTTGTGGTATCCCACTGAGCCTGTGGGTGTCACAGCCAGGTCAGCAAGGAAGACCTAACATAAGATACACACAGGAGAGTCACCTACACACACAGTCGCTCTCCATCAAGATGTGTCTTGGCCGGCATTCCTCACAGCAGAGTCCCGTGGCTCCTGGCTTACAAACACATTGCCCAGATGTGTGGTCACAGTCACTGTGGACAGAGCCTTGGGGGTTACAGTCACACTTCTGGCAGCTGCCACCTGCTACATGAGGGTTGCCATGATAGCCTGTAGAGCACCTACCAAAGCGGGGACAGTAGGTATAGACAGGGCAGTCTGCGCCAACCAGGAACACACACACCAGCTCTGCCCAGAGGCCGTCATCCCTTTTGCAAATGAAATGCAGAGCCCACACTGTAGCACGAATGATAAAAACCCGGAGACAGATACTGGGGCTCAACCTGGAGATCAGAAAACTAAAGCAGCCATCCTGGGGCTCTTATCTTGACCCCGGACTGAAGACCTGTCTCCTCCCATCTTATATTCCTCTCTAGTGCTGGGATTAAAGGCTAGCACCACCCTCCCCCAGCCTCTATGGCTAACTAGTCTGGCTGCTGGGATTAAAGGTGTGTGCTATCACTGCCTGCCTGTATGGCTGACTAGTATGGCAACGAGCCACCCCAGAAAGTAGCGAAGAAACAAGGACCAGCTACTGAGGACTAGAGTGAGGGAGGCATCCATGGCTGAGGCAGACACAGAAACAAACCCTGCCAGTCTCCCAGTGATAGGAGGAGGAGGTTTCAATGTCTTTGAGACTGATGGCAGCAGCCATGTGGCAAGGACCTGCTGGAGGGTCTGCCTGGTTCCTGGCTGTCTTTCAGGTCACGCTGATCACTGAGGCCAGTTCCCACACAAGCAAACATACCAGACACTGCCCAGTTTCTGGGTCACAGACATCACTGTGGTCGTTGCAACTGCAGGGCATACAAAGAGCCAGCAGAGGGCAAGGTCCCCAGCCATCACTTTCTGGGAGCTTCCCTCTGTGGTACCCAGGAGCACAGTCCAAAAGAGAGGCAAAAGGGACAAGAAAGCAGACACTGGCTAAAAGATGGGCAAAGGTAAATGCTCTTCAGCAAAGACAGGTGGCAATGACCTTCCTCCATTAAAGGAGCTCATGAGAAGTTCAACACCACTATTAGGAAGAAATGCAGATGAAATCCACAGTCAGAGCCTGAGCATGGGGACTTAGACATACAATCCAGCTGGGGGTAAACTGAGGCAGGAAGACTCCTGTGAATAGTCTAGCCTAGGCTACAGAGTAAGTTTCAAGCTAGCCTAGGCAACAGAGTGAGACACAGTCTGGAAACACTCTCACCAATAAAACAAGTGTCCTGCTCTTCACAAAACCCATGTCTCCAATCAAAACAGCGAGCAGAACAGCACTGAGGATTAATGAAAGTGGGGTGCTCATGCACAGCTGGTGCGGAGGAAAGGCAGTGTGCAGAGTCCTCCAAAGTTAAAGATGACACTAGCCATGCCTAAAAGAAGGTCACTTCAAGGAGAACGACATGAGGGAACTGGAAGACCCATTCACACTCCCAAACCTTTAGCACATATCTGAGCAGGAAATGAATTGGGGAAAGCATTTATTGCAGATGTTCTTCTAACAAGAATTTTTACACCAATATTTTACTATGAGATGCTCAATAATGAGTGGGGTTTTTTTTTGCCTTTTCTTTTCCTTAATATGAAGAAGCACCCTCCCTAAATGATAGCAATATTGGCAAATCAATTGAAAACAGCACTAAAAAGTGTGATCCGAGCACGTTAAGAACATGACTTCCTAAGAGCTGCAGCTTCTTTGACACAAAGTGCACGAACGTCACCCGAGTTCTTATGTAACAGGCCAAGCTTCAAATGTACTAAAAATATAAATAAGCAAAACCGTGATTTCTTAAGAAGACTGGATGGTTTTATAGCATCTTGGAAATTCTTAGACTGTTCATGCTTAAAATTAAACAGCTGGAACATTCTGCCAATTAAAGGAAGCTCTACAGATGGCATTCACCCTTTTGCTTCCTAACAAAAATAACGTGCAATCATTTTTATGGAGGATTACCTAAAGAGAACATTGCTGTAAATCAATGACAAAAATATTAGACACCCCCTTTCTCGGGGCTGGAATAAACTTCTCTAGATGCTTGCACTGACGCCTAAGGTGACAACTGTTCTAGGCCAAATCTTAAATAATAGCTGCCGGGTTCCAGCTAGGACTCTAGTAAGGGTGCACTTCTAGTGTATCTCCCCCCACCAAAAAAAACCTCCAGGATCCAGCTTTCTGCCAACAAAGGACAGCAAGTGATTCCTGCAACATAAAAGCTGGGAAGGCTACCTTGGGCTTTGTTTTTGTTATGTAAAATGCATTTACGTGACTCATCTACTTAAGAGTACCTACAGTGAGAAGGTTTAAACTACCTTCAAGAACCAAAACAAATGCTTTCCCAGGATGCCAGATAAGCTATTCAGCGCTTTTAAAAAAATGTATATATCACTATAGTTGTTTATAGCAGGATACACTGTGATATATCAAAGATTTTGTAGAATTTGTGTATACATAATTGAATTTATACGGCAAAAGATTAAAGATTTCAGGTTTGGGATATAAGATTTCACAATAATCTCCCACCTACATTCATACAGGCAAACTGTAGCAAAATACAATGGATAACACATGTACAAATAAAGATATGGAAACAGGAAAAATGTATATATTTATATGTGCCATTGACTCTGCTTCTTGCAGCCTGAGAGAGCAGAGAGCGGTTGCACTGCCTTCCCTTCTGCCCTGTGACTATACCTTTCAACACTCTTATTTCCAGAACAGCAACGGCTTTTTTTTTTAATTATTTTAGAAATGTTGAAAATAAGAGAAAATTTCAGGAGACTATGGAAATAGTTCCTCCCTCAAAGAATAGGGGTTCTATTCATTCTAAGATCAGTAACGTCCTGTCTGTCAGCTCTTAGAAGTTTCAAATAAAGGGTTGGATAGGCTGGCTTTGGTGGCCCTGGTATCTGTGAGCTCTTGGGTGGACAGCACGTTAAGCTGCCGGGAGTGAACCGGCTGGAAACCAGGAAGGCTGCCAGGCGCTCCTAGTAATTTGGGCTCTAAATGAGTTTGGACAGCACAGTAATTAGCATCCTAGGGGCCAAGCACAGAAGCGCGAGCTACCCGGGTCAGCCTGAAATTAACTCTGTGAAATACCTAACGGAAACACTTTTCATCTGGCCTGGCTTGGTGGGAGCTGGGTATGCCTGCAAAGTTTTTCCCCAAGTCCGGCTACAGTCTTAAGTGTGGAGCATGCTCGGAGACCCGGCTGAGGTGGGCTCCACGGACCGAGGCTCGCACACCTGTTCCGAGCTCATTCCAGCGGCCAACAGCACAAGGCTCGCCCGCCACCCTGCCGGCCTCGGTGGCTACCAGCCGCGCTCCCCCCCCCCCCCCCCCCCCCCCCCCCCCCCCCCCCCCCCCCCCCCCCCCCCCCCCCCCCCCGGGCAGCCTGGTGTCCAGTAGGGACCCGGGCCTACAGCCCACGCCCGGACCCACTACCGACTTACCTGACGGCCAAAGGGAAGGGCTCCTGGCTCAAGGGGCCGATCAGGCAAGACTGGAAAAGTGTCAGAGTCAAGGCCAGCAGGCAGACCCGGCCTGGAGGCGGCGGCGAGGCTGCACGCGGCAGCCAGGAGGGACCCAAACAGGGCGCCGATCTCTGCGGGTGGGCGCGCGGGGAGAGGAGGGCACGGGCGGGCAGACTCTCTGGCGCGTGGTGGCCGCTCCATGCCTACGCTGCCTCGCTTGCGCCACCATCAAGGGCGACCATGGAAACGGAGCTCGGGCAGCCCGCTGCCAGCGCCCGTGCGCTCTGCCTCCCTCCCCCTCCACCCCCGCCGCTCGCCTCCCCGATTTATCCGCGGTCTCCTAGGGCGGGAGCGGTGTGAGGACGCGGAGGCTGCGGGGATGGGGGCGCCCAGAGCCGGGCTCGGGCTGCTTTCCCCGGGACTGCGGGCGCGGCAGGCATTCCGGTTCTGAGCTCATACCAGCGGCCAGCAGTGCAAGGCTCGCCCGCCCACCCTGCCGCCCTCGGCGGCAAAGTGCCGCGCACTCCGGCCCCCACGGCAGCCTGGCGCCGAGTCGGGACCCCGGCCTCCAGCCCCTGCCGGGACCTGCTGCCGACTTACCTGACGGCCGAAGAGAAGGGCTCCTGGCTCAAGGGGCCGATCAGGCAAGACTGGAAAATGGATCAGAGTCAAGGCCTGCCGTCTTCGCGATCCGGCCTGGAGGCGGCGGCGGAGCAGCGTGCTGCGGCCGGGGGACCCAACCAGGGCGCCGATCTCTGCGGGTGGGAGCACGAGGAGAGGAGGGCGGGGCCGGGCGGGGCCGGGCGGGGCCGGGCGGGGCCGGACTCTAGCGCGTGGTGGCCGTTCCGTGCCTAGGCTGCCTCGCCTGCTGCCGGCGCCCGTGCGCTGGCCTCCCCGATTTATTCTCGCGGTCTCCAAGGCGAGGGCGGGGGCGGAGGGGGCGGCGCGGAACGCGGAGGCTGCGGGGATGGGGGAGGCCAGAGCCGGGCTTAGGCTGCTTTCTCCGGGATGGCGGGCGGGGCGGGGCGAGGCTAATTCCAGCGGCCAGCAGTGCAAGCTCGCCCACCCACCCTGCCGGCTTCAGGGGGCTACAATACGCCCCCCCATGGCAGCCTGGCGCCCAGTAGGGACCCCGGCCTCCAGCCCCCGCCCGTACCTGGGAATGGCTGCTTGTGTCTCTAACCCCAGTTGGTGGGATAGAAGAGGGAAGAGAGAAGGGTCCTGGAAACTAGACAAAATGGTTGGCTTTAGTTTTAGAGAGAGACCCTGTCTCAAAAAACAAGTGGAGAAGTGGTGAAGAAAGATTCCTAACATTACCCTGTCTCCTCTCCACATGAGCACAACCAACCACACAATGTACGTATGCATGCACACACATACACAAAACTAGGAAAGCACCTAGTTCACTTTTGTGGAGAGGAAAATGAGTTCCTCATACACCAACTTGCTGAAGATTATTAATGAATGGTGTATAATTCTGCTGTTTACAAACAAATATTGCTGGAGGAAAATACACATAAGTGAGCAGAACTGCTTTATATTAAACATAGTAAATACAATCATACATAATTGGATGCAAAGATGTGTTGCGTTCATTTATGTTGCATTTGTTTAACTGTGAAGTTGTGATTCTTGGCCTATCTAAAAAACTTGATGGCCTAATAAAGAGCTGAATGGCCAACAGCGAGGCAGGAGAAAGGATAGGAGGGTCTGGCAAACTATGAGAATAAAGAGAAGGAGAAATCTGGAGGGGAAAGAAGGAGCACAAGAGACCAAGGAGAGGAAGACATCAGGGGCCAGTAACCCAGCTACACAGCAAGCCATGAAGCAAGAGTGAAAGAAAAGTTATACAGAAATAGAGAAAGGTAAAAGCCAGAGGCAAAAGATGATGATTTAAGAAGAGCTGGCTAGAAAGACGCTAAGCTAAGGCCGGGAATTGATAAGAAAGAAGACCACTGTGTGTTTATTTGAGCGCTGGGTGGCCAGCCCCCAAGAGAGTAGAGCGTGAAACAAACAACAGAAAATGATTAGTTTACACATTTGCCTTCAGCTGTTCCGACAATTCTTACTGGTTTGTTAACATCTTTCAACAATCTTGTAGCTTCTTTCCAGTTAGTTTGTTTTCTTCACAAATATTTAACAGAGATCTGCCTTGTTGGTCTTTTATGTGCTAGGATGGAGGAAGCAACAGACCAAAAGATATTACAAATACATGCTGTTCTAAAGGAATTTATTCAATTAAAGTGTTATAAAAATACTCTGGTTAAGGATTAAGTAAATATTAACCATACTTAATACATACTAAAACAAAAATTGGAAAAGCTAAAAAAAACTCGAAGCACTAATTGGTAGGATTATGTTTTTTAAAATTTAAGTCATAGATTTAATAAGTTTTCACAGTTTTACTTTCCTTTTACCAAATGATTGTTAGCACACATTGTAGAAGATGGGTAAATCATTTTTTCTTTAAGACATTTGAGGGGGGGAGGGTAATAAGATGGAAAATGAATTTTACATAGTTTCTGGAGATGTGTGTATACAATGACTATATATAACAATACAAATGTACTGAATGCTATGAACTTTGCATCTAAGTTGTTAAAAGAATACCTTTTAGGTGACGTGTGTTTTATCATAACAGCAATTCAAAACTTATGATTAAAGCACAGTTAGCATATACATTATACTATATATAGTAAAAGTTGTTGGTGTTAGTTGACATGTTAAGTATACAATTAAATGTTGTATCACTACTTGTTAGTTGCTGAAAATTAAAATATAAAAACAGAAAATAACTTACTCTGTCAATGTCTGGGTAGGTTAGGAGGATCTGCTCTATTTCTGCATGTCCCCCTCCAGCAGCATAGTGAAGAGGTGAGCTGAGCTGGCCATTTAAAAGGTTTGGATTGCACTTTTCTTTCTCTAGTAATATGCGAGTGGCCTCAATTTCCCCATACCTATAAAAAATAAAATACATAAAAATAACCCATTTGAAACGCTTAAAAATTCAAAATTTACAGAATACCTGAAGGAAATCTAGAGGACAAAGAATGTATTAAGATACTCCTAAGTGTCTGGAATGCTTGAAATGTTTCATGTATTACTTTGGTTCAATTTAAATATTTCCATTTCTGACCAACTAAGAGAAACATATTCTCAAAACAAGAGAAAAAGATGGCATAATTATCCCATTAAAAAGTACAAAGGTTAGCCCGGCTGTGGTGGCACACGCCTTTAATCCCAGCACTCAGGAGGCAGAGGCAGGAAGATTCTCTAGTTCAAGGCCAGCCTGGTTTACAGAGAAATTTCCAGGATGGGCTCCAAAGTTACACTGAGAAACCTTGTCTTGAAAAACCAAAGGGGGTGGGAGGCAGAGACCTGGAAAAAAAAAGTACAAAAGTTAGAAATCAGAAGACATGATCTTTAGTTCAAAATCGGGTCAGTAGCTCACTTGGAAGTACATGCATCAAGAACCCCAGGGTTCAGTTGCTAGCACCATGGGAAACAACCAAACCAAATAACAGCATAAAAAGCACCTGAGAATCCGAATCCAGTGGTCATCATCTAGTTGGTTGACTGTAATCCCTTACTGAGAAGATGGCTTAGTAATTCTGAATCTCCTTCACAGGCTTTTTGTTTTTGGTTTTGGTTTTTGGTTTTTCGAGACAGGGTTTCTCTGTGACTTTGGAGCCTGTCCTGGAACTAGCTCTGTAGACCAGGCTGGTCTTGAACTTCACAGGCACTTTGATGCAAAGGAAAGTCATCAACCCATTGCCGTTCTTTAATCATAAAAAAGAAATTAAGACAGTATAAACGTTGAGGAAACTCACATTCCGTTAAAACAGAAGTGATACATCTATGAAGAGGACCTATCACTGCGGCTGTCGGCCCGTGACCACACTGCTCACTTACTGCATACATACATTTCAGCATCAAGTTATGTGAGCCAGTTAGAGTGACACCAAAACAGTGCTTGTCTTCCATGACACTGCTCATGCTTCGCTGCCATTTTTCTTGTCTGGGAATTTGGGTTTTTTAGTACTCTGGAACTCCTAGACCAAGTATGGAATTATTAACACTTTATCTACCAAGAAAAGAAAAAAAAAGCCTTAAAAGTCTCATATACTTGATTTTCAAATATATAAATAAAGCGCTGGTACTATTTTAATCTTTACAATGACAACCAATGCATCTTTGTTAGGACTTGACCGAGCAGAGGCGGCCGGCGCCATGGCCCCTCTCCTGCCTTGAGAGCGGCGTCAGGCTCGCGCAGCGCTTCCCGCAGCCTCCAGCGCGCAACCTCCGGCTCCGGGTGGACGGGGCGCGCAGTAGACCCGCGGTCACCGGCTCGACGCGAGAGGGAGGCGGCCGGAGCGGAGGAGACCTGCAGCCTGCGGGATCCAGCCGGTCCCCGCCGGGAGAAGTCACCCTCCCTCCCAACATCCTTTTAGCAGTCCATTCTGTAAGTTTGCACTCACAGCCCTTAGTATTAAGCAGGCTCAGAAGATGTAGCTCCAACTGTCTTCTGGAAACACACTGTGGGACTCCTCACTTCTGAGAAAGTTGATTGTCTTCCTTCTCCTTTCCTGGGTGTGTTCACTTGTGAATGAAGTGCATATATTTATACAGCCTACCCATAGGTAAAAGATCAAAGGTATTTTTGTATATGAGTAAATACAGTTGATGGAAGAAGTATGAAATATTCTCCATTGGTGGAAGTGAAAACTTTCCTCAGTGCTTTTAATAGTTTATTTTTTTCCCTTTGAGACTGCATATATCATTCATCTAGGTTAAATTTTTAAGTTTTCCAAATATTGAGTTTTATATGGCACATATTGTCAAAAAAATTTTGAGAGTCAGTGTAGTATTGTCGCAGGAGTTTCTCTCCGTTATCCTAAAAATGCTTAGGTATCTTATTTACCTTCTCAAAATGATCTGACAGCCGTTTCTACAGGGAGCTTGCTTTTTGCTTTTTGGTTGGTAAAGACGCTAGGTATTTATAACAAAGAATCCTCTTTGCTACTGGAGTGTGAATGCTTCCGTGTGCTTTTACTCACGTGGTTAGGATCGATGGTTTGTGTGTGCACACATGTATATACACTCGTATACATAACCTCCTTTTTTATTTTGTTTTACTTTGTCCTTAGTCATTTTCCAGACTGTCCTTAAATTTATTGTATAGCCACGGTTGTGTTAGATCCCTAACTTCACAAAACCAACAAACATCAAGTTCCAGGATGTTTATATAACATACATTCTTAGTCTGATGCCTTCTTGGAAGGTAATTTAAACTGAAAAAGGGAAAGTGCTCACTGAAGTCCTCTTCTGAATGTTTCATATAAACTATAAAAGAAATTCTGATTTTTTTTCTAATACAAACATCCCTGAGTAGCCAGTGATAGAGAAAAGTGGATAAAGGAAAACAGGGCTTGTGGAATATGACCAGACTGAGATCAAATAAGCTCAGGTTTGTTCAGGAGCCCCCACGTGACAGTCAGAAGGCTCTAATTCAGCATGAAGAGCTTTAGACTGAAAGGCTGTACAAGAGCAATCCAGTTGCTATTTAGGGGACAAAAAACTGGTGAGGTTACTGTTTCCTAATAAAGTTAAAAGAAACCTCAAACATGTCTTCTAGGTCTTCCAGAGGCCAGGAAGACAGATATAGGAGCAGAGGCGAAGAAGGCTTTGGTGTTAGGCAGATGAAAATCATGATGGAAAGGAGAGAGATGGAGCACGCACGACTGATGAAAACCTTGAAGAAGTGTAAAGAAGAAAGCAGGTACCATCACTGAAAACTACCTGTGCTTAAGCACTTCCAGGCTACAACAATTGCAACAATAGATATGTGCAATTAATGAGTGACTCCCTTCCCTATGACGTATTTCTGGAGAGCAGTTTAGATTGGAGAAGCTGGAGGAAGCTTTACATTTTCTTGTCTAATCATCTTTCCACAGGAGTTTGAACACAACGATTTGGGGATTGATACCTAGTTAAGAAGACTGCTTTCTCAAAATTCTTCACTTTTAGTCTCATTTAAGCTAGTAAGCCAAAAGTGTTTGGAGAGGTTTTGACTAGTCCCTATCACTAATAATAAATAAATAATTAGACACTAATCCTAAATATATTTAGGGTGAGGATGGTTAAGAATTCCATATTTATTTTCCTTTTTTAATATTTATTAATTTATTTATTTATTTTGAGTCAGAGTCTCATGTAACCCAGGCTGTAACTGAGGCTGGTCAACCTTTCCACTTCCTAAGTGATAGAATTATGAGTATCTACCATCACACCCAGCTTTGAACTCTACATTTTGAGTACATTTCCTGGCTGTTAGAAAATATCATCGGATTTTCCAGATCTGATTGGAGCACCACTGTTGCCCTGACACAATAAGGAGCTGGTGACGCAGGACAGTCAGTCTGCCCTACTTCTTGGCCACTGCACTTAAACTATCCTTGGGCTTTCCCTCTCTAGATTTCTTTCCCCAAGAATCCTTTAAAGCCCCCCGCCTTTCTTTTTTTAAGAGTTAGTTTAATTGCAGGTCAGCAAGATGGCTCAGTGGATAAAAGCACTTGGCACAGAGCCTGATGACCCGAGTGGGGAGAGAATGGACTTTTCACAAGTTCTCCTTTCACCTCCACGTGCACACCATGGCCACCTGTGCCCACACATGCACATAAATGCACACGCACACGCAAGTAAATAAAGGTGAAGGAATTGAGAGTTAGTCTAGCCGCAGCTCTATGAAAATGCATTAGTACACTTGAGTCCTCTGAGAAGGGCCCTCATTATTACAGTTAGAAGAAAAGTAAGCAGAGAACTAGGGGAGGCCTGGCCAATACCTATAAAATGAAGGGACTCCTTCCTCGGGGTCCTCATACAGTTGGCAGATAAAATGTCTGCCAGCATTCTCACAGACAGAGTATATTAAACAGCACACTGGCCTATTTATTATATAAATAGCACACATTTATCACATTTATATTAGCATTGTCAGTGGTTGTAACAGGGGACTCTACTACTGAGCTACATCCCAGTCCCATTGTATTTTTCTATTTTTAGTTTTTGAGATGCTAGGGCTAGAATACATGCTGGGCTCTACCCCTGAGCCACATTTTCCAATCTATTTTTAAAAATCAAACAATTTTATATTTGGCTATAGTCCAGATATGTATTTTTCCAATAAAAAAATTAATATTATATCCAAGTATCCTTGGGAGATGTGAAAAAATATTCCTTAACTCTTGTATAGAACTATACTACATACTTCATAGTTTAATAATAGTAACAATTAATACAACATTCAAAGCAAATATTTTCAAGAGGTTATATTTTAATACTACTTTTAATCAACATAATTAACACAGAAATAAAAACTGTAATAGAATAGTTTGGAAAGTCTAGGTAGGTGACTCATGTCTGTAATCCCAATATTCAGAGTCTGAGGCAAAAGGATTAACCACAAGTTCAAGACCAGCTAAATATTCGGTTTCAGGTCAGTCTGGGCCTGGACTCCTGTCACAAAGCAAAAATAAATTAGTCAAAAATTAATTAACACAAAAGAAATTTAGAAAGTATTTTAAATGTTAATGCTGACAGTTACTTTTTATTTTTAAAGAAATATTGAAATTTGGGAAAAATGGTTATGTGAAATTTATCATCTCAATCTCTTTCTTATTAAATTCCTTTTTGTAGTGCTAAGAATAAAATCTAGGACCTCACACATCATGACGGAGCTCTGCTCCCACCTCTGTCTTAGTCATCTGAGCACAGTGTAGTAGTATTGATTATATTCAGAATGCTGCGCATCACTGCCAGAATTGTTCTCATTCTGCAAGAGCAATGCACAAACAGCACCCTATTTCTCTTCCATCAAACCTCCCCTTTATTAAATGATTAACTAAAAAGCACAAATGGGGGCTGGAGAGATAGCTCAGTCAGCTGGTAAAGTGCCTGCTGCACAAACTTGGAGGTCTGAGTTCAGAGCAGCAACACAGAAGTATGGTGACATGTGACCAAACCCTAGCACTAGATGAAGACGTCTGACATTGACTTCTGGGCCCCATACATGTGCATGTGTACAAATAATGCACATACACACGCGTAATTAAGACAAATACCAATGGAGGTCCAATGCACAGCTGTATCCTTACGCAAGTTCCTATAAAGTTGGAGCGGATGAATTCCAGACAGTGTCCAGAATCTTATCATTCTTGAGCACTGTGATCTCTGGGAATCCACAAAGCAGTGAGGGCAGAAGCTGCCAAGCTGAACGCAAACCTGTGTAATCGTCGCTTACCAGGCAAGAAGGAGATGGCCCCGCTGGCAGCTGAAGCCCTCCCTTTTGGCAGCAATCTAAAGATGGTGAAGAAGCCTAAAACAGCTCCTCATTAGGACTGTGAGGAAGGCCCCATGCCAGTCCTTCCCTGGTGGGCTTATAGTCTGACCGTCTGGGAACAGTGACACTAAACGTCTCATACAAAACATATCATCTCTTGGAATCCTTCCAATACCGAGGTCAAACACACTTTGATCTTTGCAGCTAGGAAAGTTGAGGTTAAAGCTGTTAACTAACATGTTGCTCCAACACTGATATGAATGAACCTGAGGAAGCCAGCAGCATGAGCATGTGGGACCCACTGACTGACCGTTCCTATTTTCTTAAACCACCTACTACAAGCTAAGGCTGCAATACTAGGAAAAGATTATTCCTGCGAGGACCAAGGAAGCAAATTGGGTTTCAGGTCCTGAACAATCCCAGCAACTAGTAGAAATGTTATTCCTAAAGTTTTATTCATTACACAAGAATCGATTGCATTAGACTCTAAGTTTGGGTACTCAAAAAGTTACATGAAAAATAAAAAAAGATAAATCTCTTAAATTTGGACAGGGGTGGCATGCTTTTAATCCCAGCACTCAGGAGGTAGAGGCAGGCAGATCTCTGTGAGTTTACTGAACAAACTGTATCAAAAGAGCAACAGAGGAAGACACCCAGCTTCTACCTCCAGCCTCCACACATACATCTGCACCCATACAAACACATACATTTACATATACCACACACATACACATATACACACATGAGCGCATGCAACACACATGATCTATAATATCCATAGTGCCAGCACTTAGGAAGCTGAGGCAGGAGTACCAGGGCCAGCCTGGAGTACCTTTTTCAGAAAACAGGCAAACAAAGGACTAAAATAAAATGGTTTTAAAAACAAAAAGTTCTCTCACCTGTTTTCCACTTGAGAGCTTTTTTGGCTCTGAAGCCTGGTATAGACCTCATTCTCCCGAGCTCCTTCTCAGGCAAGAAGTTCATGTGTGCAGTAAGGTCAGGGGTCAAATCAGGGAGGGATACAGGACACAACTGAGACAGTTGTCATGGCAGTTGGCTCCTTACCAACAGTAACAGGCCCTAGCTAAGTACAAACAGCACCACAAGGGGGCGCATTTGGAATACAGACAAGAAGAAATAAGTCAATCACTGTAATATATACAAGAATTGTGTTGTCTTGCAGTGTTTACACAATACAATAATTTAAGGAAGCTTAAATGAAAGAAATTATCAGTTTTTTAAAGATTTATTTATTATGTATACAGTATTCTCAGTATTCTGTCTGTGCGTCTGCGGCCAGAAGTGGGCATCAGATCTCTTTACAGATGGTTGTGAACCACCGTGAGGTTGCTGGGAATTGAACTCTGGACTTTTGGAAGAGCAGGCAATGTTCTTAACCACTGAGCCATCTCTCCAGCCTGAAAATATCAGTTTTCTAAGCCTTACAGCCAACCTCTCATATCCCTCAAAGGTAGGCCGTGCAGATAGAGAATTCAGAAGGCAATCATCATGGTTCCCCATAGGGATGATGTCTTCACTATTGGCTCATCCACATTTAGTGCAATGTTCATCACGCAGTAATTATTCAATAAATACTTGTGAACAAATGAGCAGACAACGAGATTTTCATGACCTTCAGTAAAGGCTCGTTCAGAAGACTTTATCAAACAGAAATCACTGTGTCAGATCTATCAGCAGTGAGGACGGTGAAGATGAAAACTGAAGCCATTTAGAGGGTCTTAATTTCTGCTGAAACCAGGTCCTAATGTATCAAAGGATGACCTTAAACTTGCTAGGCAGTCAAGGATACCCTTAACTTCTGATCCTCCCTCTCCAGCCTTCTGAGAGCTGAGATTATAGGTTTGTGCCTCTGTGCCTGTTTAGATGGTGCTGGGGATTGAACCAGGGCATTGGGAATGCAAAGCAAGCATTCTATCAACCGAGCTGGTCTGGCAACCCCTGGTGCTAATATACACTTAGAAAGAGGAAACCAACTAAGGGACACATAGACTCGGGAAACGGAAATGAATCCTGTGCTTTCACGTTTTAACCAGGAGGCCCTGAAAATCATGAATGAAGTGCAGGAACATTTGGAGGAAGAAGAAAAGTTATTCCAGGCATCTTGTGTGGATTCCTGGGATGGATGCAGGCCATGCCTGAACAGTAACTGCATGAGATTTTACACAGCTTGCCAACCTGTTTGGTCCTCTGTGAAAAATATGGTAAGAGGAAAAGGGAACTCACCATTTAGGGGTTCTTAAGACATCCAAGCAAGCTTGATTTGTAGATTGTGTTAATTTTTAGAATGGAAATGATTAATAATTTCCCTTTATGATCTGGAATCTAACACCAGTGTTACATGTTACTACCTCAGTGTTCTCCAGTTATAGTTTAGAATAACCATCAGTGTTTATTCCCCTTATTATTATACTCTGTAACTCCAATAGAAGTCAGAAGCTCTGACTTTGCATTGACTTCACTGTTTGTGGGCATGTTCCAAGTAGATAGCAAACCCATTGATGCCAGGGGTCATATTTTATGTGTCTTCCTGTGAGGGGGCTTCCAATAGACATGTCTAACTGCATTTTCAATTATAGCATTACAGCCGTTTACTCCAGACTTCTTTTATAGCTTATCCTAGAAATCATGCATTTGAATCTCTTCCTCTTTCCCTTCCTCCCTCCCTCCCTCTTTCAATTCTACACGTAGCCCAGGCTGTCCTCAAATTCAGTATGTAGCCACCACATCTGACTCTGATGATTCCACTCCTGAAGTGCTGGGTTACAGATGTGTGCCTTAACACTTAGCTTCACTGTTCTCTCCCTGTCTCGTGATTTATGGTCAAAGTCTGTTCTGGAGATGCATCCTAGGTTGACCTTGAGTCCATCATCCCCTGCTGTAGTCTCCCACGGGGTAGGACTACGGATGTGCAACACCACATCCTCCTTATGTCAGTGTGCTTCTCCTCTTCTGAATTCCTCCAGGTCTCCTCTTGTCCTGTCCATGTGTGGCCTGCAGAACTGGCGCAGTTTCTTTTTATGCCCTTTGGCTGTCTTCCAGGCAGAGAAATTCGCAGAGGGTGGTGACTCATAAAGGATGTGCTCTGGGGGCTGGAGAGGTGACTCAGCGGTTAAGAGCATTGCCTGCTCTTCCAAAGGACCTGAGTTCAATTCCCAGCAACCACATGGTGGCTCACAACCATCTCTAATGAGGTCTGGTGCCCTCTTCTGGCCTGTAGCCATACACACAGACAGATCATTGTATACATAATAAACAAATAAATAAACAAACAAACAAGCAAATAAATGTATGTGCTCTTCCCAGTAAATTCTTTGATTGGCCTGGATTTCCCTCCCCACTTCAGGAAGTGAGCCATGTATGAAATGGAATGAAATTTTCCTCTTTGTAATAGTGTATGCATAATCATAGTATTCTTCTGGCTTGGCAGTGCCACACTCAATTACAAAAGAGCAGCAGCCTCTAGGATAGGGATTGTGCCAAGTTAAATTGATGACATTGTAAAGCACAATTAATAAAAACTCAGAGACAGATATTGGGGTTCAACCTGAAGGTCAGAAAAGCAAAGCAGCCAGCCACTGGCTCTTACTTTGACCTCAGTCCAAAAACAGAAATCCTACCTCCAGGAAACCTCAGAATGAGACTGAGACTGAGAGCTGTCTCCTCCCATCTTATAATCCTTTCTAGGTCTGGGATTAACAGTGTGCACTGTTGCTGCCTGGTTTCTATGGCAAGCTAGTGTGGCTACTGGGATTAAAGGTGTGTGTCACCGCTGTCTGGTGTGTAAGGCTGGCCAGTGTGGCTGTTTACTTTTCTGATCTTCGGGCAAGCTTTATTTATTAAAATACAAGTGAAATGCCACCACACCATTGTTGATTGCATTCGCTCCACTTTTACAGCCATGGTCCTTTTCTGATTGCCAGAGTATAATGAGATGAGTGCTGGAGACAGGATATTTGGAAGTCATTCTCATGTGTGTCGGACATTTATGAACTTTTCTCAGGGCTTGTGTTTTGTAGTTGTTGTTTTCTGAGGTTGGGTCTTGCTATGTTACACAGGGTTGTCTCAACTCCTTGGCTTTAGTAAGGTCCCCTCCGGAGGAGCTAGAACTGTAGGCATGTGCCGCCTTGTCCAGCTCCAAAGTTTTGTGTCTATGAATGGAATCGGTAAACAAAAGCTGGCAGTGGAGAGGCAGGCAGTCCATCTAGACTTCTTTCTGGGACAGGCATAGGTCCTGTGCAGATCCCAGAATAGTTGTTTGCACAGCAGGAAACTCATGCTCCAGAAGTAATAGTCCATAGCTGGTGACACCCACAACATTCTAGCACTGTGCTGTAAAGACAGCTGAGGTCTGCCCAGACTAGAGGTCACGGAGCGTGACTGCTGTGTTTAAAGTTTTCATTGTAAACTTTTCACTTCTTTAGTGGAATTTATTCCAGGATTGACTGATGTTTAAGGTTATGGTGTGGGTGGATTTTAAGGCTATGGTGTGGGATTGTTTCCTTGATTCTTTCTTGGTACATCTGTTGTTGATAAAGGCTATTGATTTTTTTGTGTTAACTTTTTATCCTACTATACTTCTGACTACTATATCACCAACACCTCGGCTAACTTTGAACTCTTAATCCATTGCCTCTACTTCTCTTGGGATATAGAAGACATCCCACAGCTATAGGCTTTTTTGCCTAGCTTCTAAAGTTTTTAAATTTTAATTAATTTTGACTTATTTATCAAATAAATCTCTTTCTTTAATGTCATTCAGGTTTGCATACACGTGTGGGAGTGTGCTGCTCATCAGGAACCACCTACTTGTTTTTGTTAGTTTTTCTATTTCATTTTTAGTTTTTCTTTCATTGTGTTTTTGGTTTTTGTGTATTTGAGACAGGCTCTCGCTGTGCAGCCCTGACTGGTCTCCTATTCCAGGATCACCTGCACTGCCTCCTGAGTATTAGAATTAACCTTCTCATTGGCCTGGAACTCAGCAAGAAGGCGGAGCAAGCTGGGCCAATCAGCCCACTGATCCTCCGGTCTCCCCCTCCCCAGCCCTGGCATTATTAAATCATAGCTACCATACTTGGTTTCTTTCAAGGGTTCTTGGGATAATTGGTCCTCCTAGTTGTGGAGTGAGTGCTTTACTGACTTAACCATCTCCCCAGCCCTGTGTGGTGAAATTCCCATAGTGTTTACACGTGATTGTTGTATTCCCCTCAGAGCTGGGTCAGAGAGACCTGCCTCCAGAGATGTTACCTGAGCCAAATGGAGGAAATTAACCAGAATTTATCCGGATGTCTGAAATTTCAAAAAAGATGCCAAAATTGTCACAGTGACCTATCTGAAGGTAAATAATTACTGTTTTATCATGTCTTTCATGCGTGTGCATCGCTGTGTTCATGTGTGTGGGCACCTGAGCACACATAAGCCTGTGTATTCAGAGATCAAATAACACCTTATGTATTATTTCACAGGTTCCATCCATTGTTTCATTTTATTTAAGACATGGTTTCTCACTAACGTGGAACTCTCCAAATAGTCTGGACTGGCCAGCTAGTGAGCTGTAGGTGTATACCTGTCTTATCCTTCCCAGTGTGGAAATTACAAACACACCTCTATGTATGAGTCTTTTCTTTTTCTTTTTTTTAAGATATTTATTTATTTATTTATTTATTATGTATACAATATTCTGTCTGTGTGTATGCCTGCAGGCCAGAAGAGGGCACCAGACTCCATTACAAATGATTGTGAGCCACCATGTGGTTGCTGGGAATTGAACTCAGGACCTTTGGAAGAGCAGGCAATGCTCTTAACCTCTGAGCCATCTCTCCAGCCCCTCAAATGGGATTCTTGAGATTTGACTCAGGCCCTCACGCTTGCCTAGCAAGCACTTTATGAATTGAGCAGCTCCCAGCTCTGGTTTGCACGCTTGTTTCTATCTACAGGTGTTCCTGATAATGGTTTACAAACATTACTCAGCCAGTGTGTGTAAACTAACCCTTTCATTTTCATCAGTTCCATCCACAGTGGGTACTTAGGGATGTATGATTAAAGATTAAAGAAACACAAACATTTACAGAGGAGAAAAACAATAAGCAAATTAGGTCAGCTTCTTTTGCTACAAAGAAAGAGGAAGTCCCCTGATGGAGGGAAACTCACAGAAGTGAGAGGTAACGTGTAGATAGCCAGGCTCTAACCTTTCCTTTCTCGTCCCCAGGATCTCACATTAATATCATAAAGTAAAACACAACCTAACTTTTAAAAGTTCTGCAGTCTTTAAAAACTCCATTTCCCTTTAAAATTCCAAAGTCTCCGAACTGTGGGCTTGATTTTAAAAAGTTGAGTACTTTCTTGTTCCGAAAGGGAAGAACAAAGGAGTAAGAAAAATCAGGTCAATGCAAGACGAGAGTCCAGCAGTGTGAATCCAAATCCCGAGACTCACTCACTCTTCTGACTCCAGAAGATCTATGGGCAGCACCCATAATTCATATTGTAGCCTTAGGTGGGCTCCTCTCACACACACACACACTGCTGTGCACACATAGTTCATATTGTAGCCTTAGGTGGGCTCCACTCCACAATCATTGCTGTCCTTGGCAAATGTCTCATGGTCCTGGTATCTCTAATAACTCAGGGGTTTACATTGTACATGAGGTTGAACCTTTACCAGTGACCTCTGCCAGCCTCTGTACAGAGACTCCAACTCTTCCATATGGGGCCAAGCCTCTGAAGCTCTCTGTGACCCCTTTGTAGCCTCAAAATAAATACTACCCAGGCAACTCAAAATATAGCCTGCTCCTCTTAGACCAATTCTGTGTACTAATTCTGAGGTGATATTTTTTATTGCCCCAATGAAACAGAAAATGTCACTCAATGGCATTGCTCTCTTTTTAGTCAAAGCTGATTTAGCCCCAGTAGATCAGAATATACAAGTTCTTAGCCCGAAATTGTTTTATTAATATTTTATTTAATATAACAATTATAAAGTATAATATTTACATATTTTATAAAAGATACATGACTATTTTAACGAATTTTTTCCCTCTCTCATTAGGTTCTTGGGGTGTCAATGTTTTAATACCAGAACACATTTAAATCTGTGGTGAAGAACACTGCTCTGACGTGGGTGTAAGCACATTGAAAGTCTTTAGTAGCTGGCCTGCAACTACAATAGGTATTTGAAATTGTGGTGCACCAGTGAGCCTTTCTTGGGTTGAGCTCTTAAGCACAAAACCCATGCTCTGTGTTGTCATACTTCAGTTAACAAGGACAGTTAGCCAGAAGCAGAACTACAGAAACTAAAACTCAAGGTTAGTACATTTAGAGAGTTTCCCAGAACTGTGGACTTTGATGGATTAGATCTTTGTTTTCATTTTGGCAGGTGGTGCTATCTACTAAAGAGTACAGTATGAATGATACTTCCATCATGGAAATAGTTGTGCTAAAGTCTGGGAGCCTGCTCCAGTGCCACCCAAGTGAGCTGGTCCCTCCTCCATTAAATAATAATCAGTATAATCCCCAAAAATATACCCCAAAGGTCAATCTAATCTAGGCAGTTCTCCCAGGTGATTCTAGGCTTTGTTTACAATTAAATCTAAATAGGGTAAGTTAATAAAATCAAAGCTCAGGAAAGACGAGGTTTCTTTAACTGCAAAGTTATAAAGCTCTTGCATTCAGCTTCCTCACAAAACAAAGACTGCTGAAGTGTTTCTACCAAGAGTAAGAGTCACAATACAATCAACAGGAACCTTTATCCTCTCTGCTGCCTCTCCTCTGCCCTTCATCAGCGAGTGAATCTCAGCCAATGTAGCTCTTTAGAAAAGAGGAAGGACAGAATTCTCCTGCTCTTGAACACGGTGATGTAAAAGACACGCTGGCTTTTCTGTGTCATTAGAGGGACTGGAGAGATGGCTCAGGGCTGAAGAGTGCTAACTGCTCTTGTAGAGGATCTGAGTTTGCTTCCTAGCATCCAAATCCTGTGGTCCACAGCACCTGTATCTCCAGTCTTCATGGGCATCTACACTCATGTGCACACAAATACCCCTGACACCCCACATAATTAAAAACAATAATTTTTAGAAATAGGATGTCACTAGATATACCATAATAAGAATCAAGGTTACCACTGAGTTGTAACGTTAAGGATGCGTTTCATACCCTTCTCTGTATTTTCTAATATTTTCCTTATAAATAAACATGTATGCATACACGGAATGATACTGAAACTTATAAAATATTTTTTAAATTTATTTAACTTTTCAATGTAGCATTTGTTTGATTTAATCACACTGCTTAGACTGGGGGTATAGTTAAGGGCAAGCAGGAAGTCCTGGGCCAGGGTCATACAACAAAAACAAAAATATCATGAAAAGCAAACTATTTCTCACCCAGCTAAAGTCTAACACAGTGTCATATGTTTAGAATCTGAGCATCTAGGAGGTAAAAGGAGATGGATCAGGCATTCAAGACTGCCTCTGGCTCTATAATGAGATCAAAGTCAGACTAGACTACATTAGACACTCTCTCAATAAGTACCCCCCACCTTCTCCCCCACACATGCATGCATGCATGCACACACAGCAAGCAAAAGCAAATCTAAACACCATGCTTAAGATAACTATGTTTACAGAATAATGTTCTCTGCTAATGAAACATCTTTGTGTCCTGACTCAATGCACCACAGATTCCTAAGCCTTTGCATGCTCTGAAATTCAAGAAGAGCGGGTCTTTATTCTAAAACTAACAGAAAAAGATGATTTTAATAGTTTGCTGAACTATACCCAATGTAGCGCGAATTCTAATTGATCTTAATAATAAAAACCCGGAGTCAGATCCTAGGGGGTGAAAGGTGACAGATGAGAGAAGCAGAGCAGCCAGCTACTAGTTCTTCCACTGAATCTTCAGACCTAATGGGCAGTCCTGTCTCTACAAATCGTCAGACTGGATGCTGTCTCTACGAAACCTCAGACTGAATTCTGAGCTGTCTCCGTCTGCTTTATATTATTCTTTCTGCCCAGTCAAATCACTTCCTGGCTCCAACTCCCTAGTACTTGGATTAAATGTGTGAATCACACTGTTTCTCTTTTAGACTAACTCGAACTCACTTAGCAAAAGGTGGCCTTGAACTCACAGAGTTTGGTCCGCCCCTAACTCTCAAGTGCTGGGATTAAAGGTGTGTGCTGCCACTGCTCAGCCGCTATGGCTACTCGTGGCTTAGCTCTGCCTTCTGATCTTCAGGCAAGCTTTATTTGTTAGATCACAAAGAAAATATCACCACATAGCAATGCAGTGTTTATATAGTTAACCAGGCCTCTTAAGCATCAATAATGCTTCTTTCCCCATGTTGCTTAGTGTTACCAGCCTGGGATCTTATTTCTCAGTTCCCAGGTATACTGAATTTGTAAAGGGCAGGTTCCTTGCACTGTTGAACAAGAATGCGAATACTTGCTGTTGTTCCCCCCCCCCCCTTCTCTGTTTCATTCTCTCTCCTCTTCAACCAACTTCAGAGGAGTTTTCTCAGCCCCTCTTTTAGAAAGGACCCACTAACTATATGGGATTACCTGTTTCTGCACACCCCCTCAACCACACGTCTACCCCACCTTGGAATTTGTGTCAGAAAATCTCGACATCTCGAATTTGTGTTGCTAGAATATGTTTTGGAAAATACTACTTTTCATGGTTTGGGTTATAAACTACTGTGCCCCACATCCCTAAAGTTTTGGTTACCTAAGGCTGGTGCAGTTTATTCCCCCCGAATTGTTGACTATGAGATGCTGTTTTATCATTTGGAAATGAGGATAACAGATGCATTTCAAATAGGTCTTTTAAGCATCAGGCAAATGGCCTGAAGTATCAGTGACTTTCATTATTCAAGCATTTTAAAAGTCACTTGTAGGGTTGTGTACTGAAGAAATGAGGAGAGCAAAGGAGAAAGAAAGAGCCCTGTATTCCCAGTGGCCTAAAGACTTTCTACTAGTCCCCACCTCATACAGTTTCCCTCACCTTTAGACTAGGTATTAAGCTTTGAACACTTAGGCCTTTGGAGAATATTCCAGATCCAAACTATAGCAATTAATAGATGTGGCCTTTATCAGGCAATACAGGTAAGTGCAATGTAACTTGGTTGTCATGGAGATAAAATACAAGGGAACAGATGTCCCACTGTGATCCCATACTGTGAAAGCATATTTTTAGAAAGCAATTTATTTTAAAACTATGAAGAAGGACATAACAAAGCTCCATGGACCCAGCCAGCACTTACATTGGAATTAGACATTAGAAAAGGAGAGAAGCCTGAGTCACTCCTCCAGGTCGAAGTCCTTTTACCCCACAGAAGAGCCCTCAGAGCCCGCTTCGAGCCCTAGCTAGAGCCTAAGGGCAAACAGAGTCCAACAGCTGCATTTGAAGGCTGGATTGCTGTGTAAAGACTTTTAATGAAATCCTGCTCCAAGACTGTGAATAAGTAAATAAAGGAAGTGAGGGGAACACAACTCAGTAGAGCACTTCCCTTGCGTGCACAAAAGCCTAGGCTCCACCCTCAGAATCGAGTAACCAGCAGGCTAGAGTTCAAGGGCAGCAGCCAGGTGTGGTGACCTAGGCCTCTAATCCCAGCCTTGGGGCTGGTGACTTTCCGTGAGTTCAAAGCCAGACTCCTCCACACAATGAAACACTGTCTCAAAACAGAACAGATGCAAATGGTTAATTTAGATTCAGCATTTGTGTCTTTATTTACATATGTTCTCACATGTGTACGCTTGTATGCATACACATTACACATATACATACACCGTACTTAACAGTGCTTTGGTTTATGAAAGCTTGACCATTAGTTTAGGCTCGTCCCACTAGTTCTTTTTTTTATTTTTTTTTTGTTTTTTTAAAGAAAACAATCTTTTTTATTTTACATACCAATCCTAGTTCCCACTCCCTCCCCTCCTTAACAGTGTTTTATGTTTAAAATTTTTTACATCTGCAGATTATAATTTTAAATTTATTACTGATGAACAAGATGCAGTGGCACACACCTGTAATCCCAGCTCTTAGGACGCTAAGGCTAGAGAATCAAGAGTTTGAACCCAGCCTGTGCTATAACAGATGTTATTCTTTTTTAACTATATGGTGGGAGGGAAGGAAGGTCCCATGAGTGCTAGCCGTCCCACGAGGGGCCGCTGTGGGGATTTTTTTTTTTTTTTTTTTTTTGCTGTTTTTCAAAGTTCTGCTATTACAAAACACAGAGTCAGAAAACTGAGGAGGGCATGGTAGCTCATATGCCTATAATCCCAGCACTTGAGAGACAGAGCTGAGAGGGATAGAAAGTTCAAGACCAACCTGACTGGCATAGAAAAGTTCCAGGCCAACCTGGGCTATCAAGTTAGAACCCATTCCCCTTACCAAAAATAAAACAAAGGCAACTGTCATACATTTTATCTATCTATTATTTTATGAATAATCCCATGGCTATAGTTATAATATCATATTTGATATTGCACATGTAAGATAAAATGTTTTTCCAAATATCACTAGACATGATTTTAACTGTTTTATTATTCTTTTTTTGTCCCAATCTTAACTAGATTCACTATAGAAATTTCCGTTTTCTCACACCTCCACTTGTGCTTATATATTTAAATTCCCCCTTTGATGGGATGGAGAGAATGTGCAGTGGAAGGGACAAAGCAGAGGCTTCTGCTTCAGTCGAGTTTTTTGGGCAAAGGGCTAACGGTCAGCAGGACTCCGCACTGTCCAGCAGGCAGTCTAGTCCTGAGCCACACACCCCAAACTCTGCTCCCCTTAAAATATAGGCGGTAGGCATGTGAGATCTTAACAAGAAGTTCTTTTCTTTATCCACCCACTTCTGCTCTATAAAACCATATAAATAACAATTCATTAAACCAGGTCTCATTTGAAGGTGATATCGGCAATAATTCCTTACTACAAACAACAAGCATTAACTAAGAACTCTAGGACTTAAGCCTACACCACCCACTTCTAAGTTTCTGGACCTTTTCTTCACTATTTCTTTACCTCCTTTTTAGACTGCCCTGATGTACCTGAATTCCTTGAGGCTCTGAAATTAGTCAATATATCCACTCAGCAATATGATCAGATTGTTTGGATGGTCCAGTATCATATGGAAGACATCACATATCTGATGGAAAAAGATGCAAGAGCAGTTTGGATGGGTGTCTCAACTAGCAACCCATAAACCAGTGACTGTGGGCATCTTTAACTCAACAAAGGTAAGGACCCCAGAGCAGAAATGACGTGTGTTATCTCTATTCTGCTAGTTACTGACTACAGCTGACTTTGGAAACAAGCTGAAGAGGAATATGTGTTACTCCACGGTGATTGTATCCAAGCCCATTTGGCTTAACACAGTTCATGGTCTAGAAAGATGGCTCAATCTTTTAGATCAGCTACCCATAAGGCTGAGGTAGGAAGGTCTTTAGTTCAAGGCCTGAATGGGCTACGTAATGAATTCTGTGCCGGCCTAGACAACTTAGTGTGACCCTGTTTCAAAACATAACAAAACAAAAATACTAAAAGGGCTAGAAATGTATCTTAGTGGTGGATTTGCCTAGCATATCTGGGTTCCGTACTGAGTGGGGATGAGGTCGTAAAATACAAAAGTATTTTAAATCTAAAATGACTAATTCTTCTCATTGTGATAGGGTTGTAGCTGATAGTGACAACCTTCAACTGGCTAATACAGATTTTAAGAAAGAAGACTTGTAGGTAAAGTAGAGTTCAGAATTAGACACCAGGGCTGGAGAAATGGCTCAGTAACTAAGTGCATTTGCTCCTCTTGCAGAGGACCCAGATGTGATGCCCCGTACCTTCCTACCTACTGCTCCTGGGCGTCTGATGCCCTCTTCTGGCTTCCTGAGGAGTCAGGCCTGCGAGTGATGTACAGACATAAATTCAGGCAAAACTACCATTGCATAAAGTAAATAAAAAATTTAAATTGGACTCTAAAACTTAACAGTTTAGAAAGATTGGGAAAAAGGTTCTTAACCTTTCTAGGCCTGTTTTCCCACTAAGATGGGAACAATGGAAGTCACCTGGAAATGTTTGTCTGTAAAGCCAGTGAGGCTCCTTAATTTTTTAAGAAGTAAATTATAGCACTTACTACTTTTTTTTTTTTTAGATTTTATTTATTTATTATGTGTGCAGCGTTCCTTCCATGTGTGCTCACATGCCAGAAGGGGGCGCCAGGTCTCATTATAGATGGCTGTGAGCCACCATGTGGTTGCTGGGAATTGAACTCAGGACCTCTGGAAGAGCAGTCAGTGCTCTTAACCACTGAGCCATCTCTCCAGCCCCAGCACTTACTACTTTTTATACAATAAACTAAGTCACCTTACGAATTAATATCAGGGCTGGAGAATTAAACATTGGTGGCTCAGTGGTTAAAGCAATTGTTGTTCTTGCCGAGGATCCAGGTTTGGCTTCAGGAAGTACATGGTGGCTCAACCATCTATAACTCCAATTATATATAGTTCCTAAAGATCTGACACCCTCTTCTTACCTCCTCAGGCATCAGGCAACACACATGCTTGGTGCACAGACCTAATGTAGTCAAGGAACCCATATGTATAAAGTAGACTAAAAAAGTTTTAACATTCAATATCCTCTGAAAACATACTTAAATTGCACCTGTGCTGTGACTCCCACATTTGATCCCTAACTCTGCTGCATAGAACTATGGCTGACTTTTTATCCTGAGCCAGACATCCCTATGACCATGCACAAATTGCCTTAAGTCCACAAAAGTGTACATTGATTTTTGTGGGGTTAGCATTGAGGTAGAAGGATCCTAAAAAGACCTGGGTACAAGAAGTCCTGGGCTTACCAACTAAATCTTCAGTGCTCTGTGTAGTATGTGGTGTTCTGTAGAGGAAAAGAACTGGTAGAGTGAATAGATATTACACAGGGTTTAGTACACTGACTGACATGCTGTGCTCTGGGTAGTTTAACAGTGGCGGTCTGCGTATTCAAGAGGTTGAGAACCAGTAGCTACTGATTCCACTAGGATAGACGCCTCAGCAAGCCCTCGCTAGTGTTGAAGGCAGGGGGATTCTTGGATTCTTACATTGGAAGCTTTGCTGTCCACAGATGATAGCAGTGGTTGGTGGTGGCCGCTACAGTGGTTGTGGTCACTAGAGTGCTGGCGGCTGCAGTGCTGGCTGCTGTGGCAGCTGTGGCTACAGTGCTTGAGGCAGCAGCAAATCAGTTGCGCTCACCAGAAAGGAGTGAAAGCAGGCAGGCAAAAAGGAACAGTTTTCCCCTCAGATCTTTACATGAGGGCAGCTGCAAAATGGCGCCTCCCATGCACAGGAGGGTCTTTTCCCCTCCAATTAATCTCTCCAGGAAATGCTATCAGAGACCCATCAAGAGGCATGTCTTTTAGTTGATTCCAGATCCAGGGAAGTTGATATCAAGGCTAACCATCACAGGTTCCTGTACCAGCTCCTGTTCCAGCCACTGTGGTCTAGAACTCCCTGCTGCACCCAGGTGCAGCAAGAGATGGCTTGCCGCAATGTTCTTATTTGGCATCCCTCTCTCCTCCCAGGATGCTTTTCTCATCCTCATAAGGGTTTTACCCAAGGGCATCCCTTTAGCAATCAACTCACATTGGGACTCAGCCTGTTTTGAGGGAATCTGACCTTTTTCTTTTTGTCAACCTGCAAGTTGTAGCATAATTTGAAAACTAAGTTTAACTACTCATAACAACAACCATGTTAAAAGGGGGGAGGGTTGAGTGTTGTGGCAGATGCCTGTATGTGATCTTGCCAGCACTGAAGAGGTAGAGGCAAGCCTTTAATCCCAGCATTCAGGAGGCAGAGGCAAGCGGATCTCTGTGCCAGCCTGGTCTACAAGAGCTAGTTCCAGGGTAGGCGCCAAAGCTACAGAGAAACCCTGTCTTGAAAGAACAACAACAACAAAAAGTGTAAAGAGGTAGAGACAAGAAGACCAGGAGTTCAAGGCTGGCCTCAGCTATGGAAGACTCTGTCTTAAGAAATCAAAGCAATCCCAAAGTGGGAATGCACACCTATACTCTCAGCAGTTAGAAGCTGAGGCAGGAGAGTCTCAGAGAGTTCAAGGCCAGCAGGGGGATATAACAGGGACAAGGCTATCCAGGGCTACAGAAGATGACTCCGGCTCACCCCCATATGTGAAGATCTAGGCTCCATCCCTAGCATCACAGGTTGTGAGGCAGATGGGATGAAAAGGAAGTGAGGGAGGAAATGGAAGACAAAACCATTTTCAAAGAAATGAGGCTTTATCTACCGTACAATTCTGGAGAGTGGAAAGTCCAAGATTATTTTCTTAGCTTCTAGACTGGGTCGTGCGTTGCTCTGTGCATGCCAGGAAGGAGAAGGCATCAGTGTGTGGAAAAACGCGTGCTTGCTAACTATGTCTGTGTGGGTGTGCAAACTGGAATCCTGAGGACAGCTAGGAACATCAAAGGGAAACATCAAGCGAGTGTTGGGAGAGCACAGGAAGAACGAATGGGGCCTGGTAAAGGGACTTTATTAGTCAGGCTTGCCTGCTATAGTGATCCTTCTGAATCCTGAGAGGTTTAGTGAGGCTTAACACCAACAAAAACCTCATTAGTGAACCTAGGTTCTGCTTTGTGTCACATCTGGGCTCATCTGCAGAACACTTGCTTGGGAACTTTGTGATTGTTTGTCTCTGCTGAAAAACAAGTTCCATGAACCAGGTCCTTGCCTGTCTTTTCCTTGTTGACATAAATAAGCAAGGCATTGGGATAGAGATGTTTGTTGAATGAGTTCACTTTTTTGGGGATCATTTATTCTGGCTTAGCTTGTATTCCGTAGCCAGAAGGACCCTTTCCATCAAAACAAGGTCCTCAAAGAAGGTCATGGTGAAGGATTTTATTTCATGAGCGTGGGAGACCCTACTCTTGGTTCTTGATCAGCTGATCTTGGGTAGAAAAATAAGATCAGACTCAACCTAGAGAAAACTAGCACAAAAGTAACATGCAACTGGATAGTCTGGGATGTGTTCTGCCTAGGATTCTGCTAGCGGCTAAAAAGTATGTGGGCACTTTTTGGTTGGAAAAATGTATATATTTGACTGGTTTTCTGAAGGCATACTGGCATCCTGCATTATGATAGACAATCACATTCAGTCCCATTCAAAGCCCCAGAAAAAGTTTCCTGAAGGAAGTCCTGCAGTTCCCTGACACCCATAACCTCAACCCACTCAGTCCCTCATCTCTGTACATCTAGAAGTGTTCTCCTCAAATGAATACCAGCCCATCTACTGTTTTCTCTGCTCAGACTTCTGACAGTGCACCCATGTCTTTCCAAACAACCATCAGAAAGTACATAGTACAACCATAGAAGAATTCAGCATACAGTATTGCTGTGGGACAGTGCTCTTGTACCCTGTAAAGATTTGTCACGTGTGTTGGTTTAATAAAATGCTGATTGACTAGTAGCCAGGCAGGAAGTATAGGTGTGGCAACCAGACTAGGAGAATTCTGGAAAGAGGAAAGGAAGAGATACAGTCACAAGCCAGACTCAGAGGAAGCAAGATGAGAATGCCATTCTGAGAAAAGGTGCCAAGCCATGTGACTAAACATAGATAAGAATTATGAGTTAATTTAAGTTGTGAAAGCAAGTTAGAAATAAGCCTGAGCAGTAGACCAAACAGCTTATAATTAATACAAGCCTCTGTGTGTTTATTTGGGACTGAATTTGGGACCAGGTGATACAGAAACGTTTATTTACACAGTATTCAAATATGCCACATTTACGTGTTGTGTATTTTTAGCTGAAGGAAGTAGGGAGATTGCTCTCATTGTGTCCTACCTTTCACATAAAGCAGGCCTTATAAGAATTCTTTGACCGACGTTTCCTGGAAAGAGGACTATCACAGAAAGCCCTACCCTGTTAAGAGTCAACACAAACCTGAAAAGACAGGTGTTGCCAAGTCCCACCCTCTTCCCCACAGCCATGAGAGCAACTCTTATCCTCAGTCATTGTCTACCCAACTGCCCTCCACCCCCCAAAACCAAAACCAAAAAATTATAGTAAAGTAGGGAAGTCTTCCTTTTAGGCATTGGGTGCTACCTGAAGATATTCTTAGCCTTTGGCCTGAAGTCCCCTGTGTTATGTAAACATATTAATAAACTTATTAATAAACTTCTATTAACCTCTTTGTTATACAGCTTTAGTGATGACGTTGTGATAGGTAAAGAAAATATATTTCTTTTTTCCCTCCTTCATAAAGGAGGATCTGACTTCCCAAAGGAAACACTAATGATTTGGAAGAACTGCATTGCACTAGTAAGAGTTTGGGTGGAGAAGCAGTGGGGTGAAGAGTTGATGTAGGAAAAGCCAGACTAACTTTGTGTTGAACTAAATAGATTTTCAGTTTTCTGTTATCCTGTAACTCACTGCATTTCAGCTCACAATTATACAGCAAGAATACCAATTTCCCACTACTAAGCTTGTGAAATGTTTCCCATGATACTTGTAGTTAAGCCAAAATGGCCAACCATTTCTATAAACTTCTTTTGAAATTTGAATTTTTTTACAAAACAAGACTACAAAGAAACATTTGACAGTATCTTAGATAACTAAATAAACAGGGCTGCAAATAAAAGATGGTTATGTAATCTCTTATAGTACATATTCCATCATAAAATTTTTATTTCTATTACAATTATTTTATTTTATGCATATAGTGTTTTGCTTGCATGTATGTCTTTGTACTATGTGGGTGTCTGGCGCCCACAGAGGCCAGAAGAGGAATTAGACAGTTGTGAGTTGCTATGTGGTTGCTGGAAACTGAACCTGGGTCCTCTGGAAGAGCAGCCAGTGCTCTCATCTGCCGAGCCTTCTGTCCAGTCCAACAACATAGACATTTTGAACTGGAGCTTTTGATGCTGAGTTTTAGCACGGAGACAGGAGAATGATGGATGGTGTCA